TAAAAAGCAACGAGCGCTGCGGATTCGCACAGATGCAAAAATCGATATATATAGCGGGTGACCAAATAGGAGCAATAGCATCTCAAATGACAATAACACAAAAATGATTTCAAATATTACATTGTTTACAATTTCATTTGACAGCCACGTTCATGCCATTATATATCAAATGATTAATTCATGTAAAATATATATAGTTTATAATAATTTAAAATTGCATAATAATATCTAACCACAAGATCCAATTGTGGCTGCCTGGTCTCATGTGACTCGCAAGTATATCGTAGCATACAAACCTGTTGACAGGAATTTTGTTGGTCATAAAATGACTATTATTGAAATGGCAAACCTAATTTATTATTTAAATTTTATGAATAACTTTAATAGCTGCGGAGTTATAGTCAATGCAAATAGTATCACTCTTGCTGGGTCACAAAGCAAATTTTGATTAGGCTTCAAATTTAGCTAGTCAGCGGGTACAGGGTATCTGACAGTCGAGCTGAGTTGTGAGGCATGAAAAGCATAAATACACTAGCTATGTCAATATATAATTCAAATGCATTCCTTGAGATGTCTGCAGCCCGCAATCTCTGATGCAAAATATTTGTAGATCAAATCATAGACAAAAGACTTAAATTACAACCTGCAATAAATTAAATTTGCCCCTCTCTCGCTCACTCTCTGCTGCTCTGCGGTTATGGGCAAAGGGCACAAGTGCGCAACGATGTAACACAAACCGCGAACAAATGATTAGACAACAGTTGGTCTGGCCCTGGCCCTGGCCCTGGCCGTGGCTGCGGCTGAGCGTTTCTCAGATTCGAAGCATGCGCATTTTACACTAAAAATGTCAACAGCCTTAATTTACAGCCATATGCCTGCTGCTGCTGCTTGGAGTGCCGAAAACAAGAAGTTTTCTAACACATTCCTGGAAATCACTTGACAAAAATATTAAAAGGAGCAGAAGCGCTCGCTCGCTCGTGCACTTGATCGCTGCACTGAAGCAAATAGATCACGGAGACGCTGGACAGAGCAGGGAGAACAGAGAACGAAATGCCGACGCCGAGCAACAGAAATTGGGTGTCGAAATGATAATCAGCTAGGCGCCCCGCAGTGGGCGGCTTCTCTCATCTGGCACCGCACGCCCCGCTGTGCCGTTGCCGCTGTTTGGGCCGCATCGAAACGGTGGCAGTGGCAGTGGCAGCGGCTCTCTGCTGCCACAGGCGATGTGAAAATTGTAAATTGAAATCGTTTTTCCTTTTCCTTCTCCTATTTTTTTACTTTTCTTCTTTTTTTTGCGAAATAATGCGGCAAGTGGCCGAGCGGACGACAAATCAAAAAGGCAGCACGAAGACAATGGCCACATTAATTGCTCGAACTACAAATTGCGACGATTTTTTTGTTCTCCTCAGCGTTAGAACCTGCCGCACGCCTTTGTCTGTGCCCAGGCCGGCATTAACTAAATAATAATAGTTGATTGTTTTCCACTGTGAAATCGGTTAAACCCAATTTACTTATAGATATTTGCGATATATATATTACTTCCCTGGCAATAGGGAAAATGCAATCTTGAATAATTTCACTCTTTTCTGTATTATTATTAGGCACAAAACATTAGTAAGAAAATAGCATTTTCTAAATCTGTCTTAAGCATATGAGAACCTAATAAGCCCATTTCGATGTCTTTAGTTTTTGGAGTTCTCAAATTATGCTCAAATATTTAAGACTTAAAATAAAATTTTCTTACATTTTTAGAATAAATATAATAAAAATTTTATATACATTAAACGTATTTGATGTAACAAGATTTCAAATCTAGTAAATTTATATTTATATACATACATCATCATGTCGCATTCTTAAGCCCAAAACTAATATATCCTAATCATGTTATATGGATTCATGGCACATGACTAAATATCCAAGTCAGCGTGCAAGAAATCATAATCTGTTATATCTGATAAGAAAAATCATAATTTTTGAAGCATACTTTTAGGCTCGCGGGCAACGCACCAAAGCTGAGTGCTACGGCAGTGATAACATATGGAGAGCTGCTGATTTTGTTTTTAGTGCCGCACCAATAGATGGCGCCAGATGGTACCTTATTACCTGTGCCTTGGTATTGCTGTATTTGTATGTACTTGTCTGCCTTACATTTTACAAATTCATACAAAGTGGAATTAAGTCAGCAACAACAATATAAGGACAGTTTATACTTTATGTAATCGATATGCTTACTGCAACTCATAACAATGGATTAGTTTTCTCTTTGCCCGCTAGAGGGTGTCAACTGAGAGCAATTTTTAATATTAAACTCTTAAAGTTTTTTAACATAAAATGAAATATAGAAAACATGCTGGCAAATTTTAATATTCAAAGTATTGATCTCCTTTCAAAAATAACGCATTAATTCAAATTTAATTTCCAGAAAATCAGCATAATTTTTTAAACCAAACCAGTTTGCGGGCTTGAGGACGGATGTGCTCAGCGATTGTTGCTGTTACCATCAATAACAATAATCGATACAGCTAATCCATGCAGCCCTAAATCGTAGAATAAATAAAGTGTCAAATAAACTACTGCAAAATAAGAATGTTATTATGAGTATTTGTATCGCTATGTCGGTAAAAATAATTTTATTTTTCACACATTATACTCCCTTTCTACAGAATATTTTTCCCAACCAACATCTTCAACAACACGGCCACCGGATGTCACACAGCATTTGCGATAAGAGCGTCTTATCTACAGGCAGCGCGAATGCAATGCATCGGGCAGAAGTATAATTTATACAAACTGGTTTATCTCGGACATAATATGAGCAAGAGACTTAAAAGGTTGGAGCATCATGCTTTCGGACTTACTGACTTAGCCGCAGCATTCTAGAACCCGCTTTACAATATTACACCAGCAATGGATCAACAGTTTAAGATTTGATTGATGCATTTACATCTTTTTCGATTTTTCGGGAGTTAGTTTCTTTTAGATTAATCAAATTTATTTAGAGAAAGCATTTCAGATTTAAGAACTTCAAGCTTTGAACTACTAGTTGGACCTGAAATCCTCTTGAAGATAGCTTATGTGCATAATAATATCTCAAACTCGGATACTTAAACGTGAAACTGGTATTTGCTTTATACAAAGTCGATGGCAACTTATTTAATGCTATTCAATATATGAGCTAAATCATGTTTAGAAATCCACAGTTTAAAATCGAGTTGTCTCAAAGGACCAAAGTTTTGCAAATGCAATTTATACTTTAACTTTATTTAAAAAAAAGTGATAGTCAAAGAAAACTTAAATGTTTGGTATACTTTCAGTATAATTCTAAGAAAATCTTAAAAGATGTACAATATATACAAATGCATTTAGAAGCTAAATCTGGAAACTGCAAACAATTCACTTAAGTATATTTGCTAAATTTAAGGATTTGCTTTGGAATTTGGTAAGCAGATGTAGGTACTTAAAAGTAATCTAAATTTGTTTAAATATTAAAGCTAGTCAATCTTTAGGCCTCTCTTTATACGGTTAAGCTATTGAATCTATATAACATATACTTAGACCACATCATATTTTTGGTTTGGAATTTGGTAAGCAGATGTAGGTACTTAAAAGTAATCTTAATTTGTTTAAATATTAAAGCTATTCAATCTTTAGGCCTCTCTTTATGCGATTAAGCTATTGAATCAATATTACATCTACTTAGAATACATCATATTATATATCACAAAATAGTTTACTTTAGAATATATTTATGAAGCTAGATTAGTGATATGCTCCAATAATATCGACGTTCATATAATTTATAGTTCATTGGAAACATACTTGACCTGCGCATATTGTATAATCAACTAAGTGCAAAATTGCAAATATCAAGCTCGCGATCAGACGGCCAGGATGGGATAGAATCTGCTATTGATTCCGATCAAGTATGCAGGAGTTTTGGCACGCCTGGTTCTGATTGTTAAGAACAATGAATTAATATTTTGATTGCTTCAGATCTTTCCCTTAAAGAGCTTTAATAATTATCAATAATAATAATCCTCGTGTGGAACAGACACCTTTGACGCTCGACGCCAAACCTGCATTTAAAAAGCAATAAAACATTTGAACACATTGTAATCAGATGAGAAATCATTTATATACATACCTTTTTAAATTTTAAGCAAATTACAGGAAGAGTTTAATAATATTATAAAACAGCCAAACTCTAAATATGCATGCGTACGTACATACATACGTGAGAATGTGGTAGCTATATAAATGAGCAAACTTCTGAAGGTGTATGCGCAAACATACATATGTATACCCGCTTTTCCATTATATGTTCATACAAATGCACAAATGTCTAAAACACACAGCCAGCCAAGTGCGCACACACGCACATGTGTGTATGTTTCTGCACAATTTGTTGCTAACTTTGGTTGATGCACCGAATCGAATTAGAAAACGATTCTCCTCTAATGCTTCCAATAAAACTGCTTGCGATCGCAGTTCAACATTTCAACTTTCCTTTTTGCTTCACTTACATCTTTGGACACATTTGTAGTTTTGAAATATTAGTGTAGGGAGAAAAACTATTGTCTTTAATTATCGATTATATCGATGTTTGTTGTAATAAATCTAAATCTAGGACATGATTGGATCGACTCATTATTTGTGGACAAACAATAATTGTACAATAGTTTTGATAAATATAGTTTTCTTAAATTTTTTACAATGATTTTTAAGAAATATATCTCTATATAAATAAACCAGTTTGGATTTAAAATTTGTTACGGATGAATGTAAATATTTCCAACTCTAAAGATTGTTAGGTCTTATGCTATACCTATCTATGTAGTTAGATTATCTAACAGTTTTATTATTTTCATTTTAAAATTTATTCCTAATTCTTTGCAACAATTTGTTTTTAAATGGTTTTCAATATTAACTTAATTATTTAATTATTCTATATATTTTTTTTGAATTGAAAAGTTGTTAGTTTTTTATATATTTGCTTTTTGTTTTGTACAACTAATTTTGCCGCTCTTTTCTAAAAAAGAAAAAACAAAAATAATTAAGATAAACACACATCACTAATGACTGTGGTTCTCGAAGTCAGCGCAGACGCTTTCTTGTGTTTATAGATTTTGATGCCGATTTGTTATTTGTAAAATTAACACTCGTCTGTTTTTAAATGTTTGTTGTTTTTTTTTTTAATAAAACCATTACGCTTGGTTAAGATCCGTGTCTGCATATATTCCATATGAGCATACATAATACATTTACCATAATTTAGTACCAAACCCAATAGAAATGGTAAAGAAAATTGGCGCAATTTACAGAGTCAAGGTGATGCGTTCTTTGTATGTGTGGACAAGCATACATCTGTAAATACATACATACATGTAATTGTTTTTTTTTTTTTTTTTTTTGTGTTTTGCTTGTACAATTTGCCGGCTAAAGTTGTCACAAGCGCATCACACAAATAATTATTTACAAACAGTATTGTATACGTTTAAGAATTTGTACAATCGCTGCAACGAAAATGCCTAGAGCAAATGAATTTCGTGCCACTACACATTGGAGACGGGCACTCGCTGAATCGTGTCAATGAGTGCGGCCATTGCTATTTGTCCCGCTCTCACTTTACAAACCTCTGTATTGTGTATAGCCTGCCCATCTCTTTCACATCTGTGTTGTCGTATTAATGTCGTATGTGTTGAAATACGTACATAAGAACGAGTGTGCAACAGCGCGAAACCTTTTAACAGAAAAAATTGTGAATTATTAGGTGCTTGCAATTTACATTTGCATTGTATAAAATAGCGCAAAATTTTAAGGTTGCATCGGTTAGTTGTTCAACATAAATTAAATTTTTGAATACTATATAATTTTTCATTTGTTTGTGTCTCAGGTTGCTAGTGGCTGCTGAGCTGCTAGACAAGGACAGCAGCACTGACGCTTCCTAATACGACGACACTAAATTGTTTTTCGAAATATAGAGTGCGTCGAGTGTTGCCGCCACGGCTAAAAACATGAACATTCACATTCCACACTATGCAACACTGTGGTCACTCGTTACATTATTATTTAGTGACGCTCTCTCAGACACACATACTAACGCATGCCGCCTATAGCAATTGCTCGAACACTTGCTTAAGCACCGCACTGTGACAACGGTCTCTGTCCGTGAGCAAGCGTGCGCTCTTGCTCTTCGTCGAGTACGCTTACTCGTCGCTGTCGCACTAGCTGGCGTTACTGGTAGTCGTCGTCTGACACTAACACACAACGCAGAGTCACAGTCATTTCAGCTTCGGTCTTTCTTTCTAGTTCTGTTGCTACTCGTTCGCGAAATCAGTTGACTTTCTGCTGCAACACAAGCGGACTGAAAATTTTTGTTTAAGTGTTGCAAAAAAATTTGTTAAAATTTTCTTAAATCAACGAAAAATGTGAAAATTTTTAGGTAAAAATCCGAAATTAAATAAAAATCTCTAAAATATTTAAAAATTAAAAGTGCCGCAAAAAAATTAATTAAAAATTATTAAGCGAAGTTTTAAAATTGGCTGCGATTTTTTTATATTTTTCTTTGCAATTTTTGCAAATTTCGTATTTAGTGCAAAAAATTTAATAATTTTTTTTCACGACGCTATAAATCAAAAATACGCCTACAACACAAAATTTCTGCAATAGAAAACTTTGATACGACATGAAGAAGAAAACGGACGAGCAACGACAAAAAAAAGGAATATATTTTCTGTCGTCTGTTTTTCTTTCTTTTTCCAATGCTGCTCGCACTCGTTGGCAATGCCTGTGCTGTGTGTATGCACACCACTGTGAAAAATACCAATACCAACGCAAGAGTTTATTGTGTGCTCTCGCTCTCTACTCGCTACCAGTATTGTCTCGCTGAATTTTATACATGTGTGCAGTGAAAACGTCGCGCGTCTCGGGCGAGACGCAACATAATCGTTTATACATACATACGTATGCATGTATGTATATTTATACACAGACATACACACACACAAATTAATATACATATATAATATGTCTACATGTACATGTGCGTTGAGCGAGCGCTGTGTTGCGATGTACTCGCCAAAAAAAAAATCAGCTAACTAACAGCAGTCGCTCGTACGCGAAAGAGCTTTAAAGCTTCAGCTGCTGTTGCGGCCCGCTGGTATATTCCGACTATTTACTCGCTACTCATCTTTGGCGCAGAAAGCAACTGATGTTCACATGTACGAGGAGCCAGCGCTAACATGCGGAAGTAAAATAAATACAAACTATGATTTTTAAGAAATGCGACATCCAGGGCCGTGCTCAATCACAGGCCGTTGCTCTAAACGCACAAACATGTTACATTTTCAAGCTTCCATTGCTTGCCGATTTTTATTTCGAAGTTAAATAATTTTTGCGCGCAATTTTAAAGCGGTTGCCGCCGCACTTGTGCACGCTGCTGGCCCATTTCGTGCGTGCGTGTTGGCCAAGTAATAGTGCGCACACACACACACACACACTTGCACACTTAATTATGACACATCTGTGTGTGTTGTGTCTGTGAGTGAGAGTGTGTGAGAGAGAGCGAGTGAAACACGTAGACGTGTGCGAGATGGAGATAGAGGAGAAATATCAGCGAGATGGAGAATACTACGACTAACAACAAGACCTAAAAACAGAAAACAGCGAGTTGTTTTTGGTGAGCAGGCGGTAGCGGCAACGGCAGCCGCATTCGGAAAAATAAAAACTCATTTGCAATATGCTGTTATAATACATTGTTTGTCTTTTGCCGATGTGCGTGGTAGAGACTGTGTATCAAATGTGAATCTTATAGGTCATTTAATTAATACGTGTGCGTGTCTATATTTGTGTGTGTGAACGCTTGTAACTAACTTTTACTCTAATCGTCGAGCATTACTTTGTTAGATTTTTACAGTTATGTGCAATGTTGAATACAGCGAATGTAAACACGATAACAACAACAGCATCAGTCACTCAAAACAAAAAAGAAAAGAAAAGAAAAGTGCCGAAATGTGAATACGTTTCAGATCAACAACAATAACTAAATGCTATGAACATTAAAAAAAATAAAAACAAGTTGCAAATAAACAAAACGAAACATCAACAATTCGCAACGATAAAATGTTACAGCAGAAGAAATAGCAACAAAAAAAAACAACAAAACACAAAATCACAACAAATCGACAGCAACAACAGCGGTAGTAACGGCAGCGGTAGCAGCAGCAGCAGCGGCAGCGGCAAATGCAACATCATACGCATTTGTTAGCTGGCTTTAAGTGCTCTTTCTTCTTACAAGCCGTCTTCTTTTACTTCAAATTTCACTTGCAGCAGCTGTTGCAGACAGCTATAAAAATAGTAGGAACCACTTCGAATCCTAACCAAGGCCGATTTATTCGAATTCGAATTCGGCCAATTTGGTGGATTTGGCGCCTACCCACAAAATGCACTCGTGCGCATGCTGCTGTATGACAAACAACATAACAAGCATCAACATCAACCAGCATCAGCAGCAGCAGCAGCAGGAGCATCATAAGTATCTAAGGCTTGGGCAGACAGCAGAAGCAGAAGCAGAAGCAGAAGCGGAAGCGGTGCATCTAAAGCAAAGGCGTACATTAGTAACGACGTCTACTGGCGGCGCATGGGACGCCAGTAGTAGCAGGAGCAGTTACAACAACGATCTCAACGGCGAGCCAACGGAGTCAGCGACGTGCGCAGCTGGCACGGTCGCGGTGACGATAGCGCGGACGACGTCGACGACGTCTTCGTCGCAGCGGCAGACGATAGAAACGGAAGACGAAGAAGAAGAGGAGGAGGAAGAAGAAGAAGCAGAAGAAGAAGTAGCCGCCGCAGCAGCAGCACCAGCAGCGCAAACAATAACAAAGGAGTTGCATTTGTTCACAACTCCCGCTAGTTTATGCAAAATTTTACTAAAACAATTTACTGAGCAAGTGTTGTTGACTGCCACCAACATTTTAAATTTATAAAAGAAGCAGAAGGAGAAGATAAGCAAAATAAGTAAAAAGAAAAAAGAGCAAAAGAAAAACGAAAAATCAAACATCCGTGCGAAAACTGTCAAATTGTGCAGCCACAAACGCAAGCAATCAAAAATATTTTTCATACCCCACTGTCAACTCCTCTCAACTCGTCGTCATTCGGAGTTATATATATATTTTTTTTATATTTTTTACGGACTTTCGTACTGCTAGAAGCAACCATAGCAGACAAACACATATTTATTTCCACAAGGACACGTTCTGCTGCCCAATAAAGGCTAGCAACTAATTACATATATGATGGCCGATCATTTGGACGAACCGCCACAAAAGCGGGTCAAAATGGATCAAAGTAAGTTCTTCCAAATGCATCTGAATAGCATTCAGTTTTCCCCCAGATTTAGTCATGATAGGTTTAGATGTTCAGATAATTTAATTTAATTTATTTTGGAGTTTTTCGAATGTGCAAATTGGACGACTTTGTTGGAACTGATGCCTCCATCCATATGAATCTAAGCAAATAAATATGACATATTGAATGAAAAAGTTGATTAGACAAAGATTACTTTGATAATGACTAAATTTGAGAGAGTAGAATTCTTTGAGGCGTCTGTGACAGTATATGGATATGTATTGATGGATGTTTTCTTTACCACTTAGCGGATCTGTATTTTCTGGAAGACAATCTACCGGATGAGCTGGTGTCTTCCAACAGTGGATGGTCGGATCAACTGACCACTGGTGGTGGTGGCGGCGTTAGCGTTGTATCCACAGCAACCGGTGTCGGCGCTGGTGGACCAAACAAACCACCTACTCAGGGACCTGGTCCAGGCGTAGTGCCACCACAAATGAACGGAGCCGGTGGCGGCGGTGACGATGGCAGCGGTAATGGCGGTAGTGGCGCTGCCGGTAGTCAACTGCGTCAACTGCAGCATCACCATCTGCAACAGTTGCTGCAACATCAGCAGCAGGGAAATAAAGGTGCCGGTGGCGGCATGGTTGTGCCTGGCATGAATCAACTGGGTAGCAAGTCGCCCAACCTGCAATCGCCCAACACTGGTATGCAAGTAGCGACACAGATGGGCATGGTCAACTCAATGTCCATGTCCATATCGAATAATGGCAACAACGGTATGAACTCCATACCAGGTAAGTCATATACAAGAGTAACACTTAAAGCACACAAGCAATAACATTGAAATTATTCTGTTCCAGGCATGAATAGCATTGCACAGAGCAATCTGGGCAACATGGTGCTGACGAATAGTGGCGGCATGGGTACCATTGGCGGCGCCGGCCTGGTCAACACACTGAAACAGCCAGGTGGGGCTTCCATGATGAACGCCGTTCCCGGATCGGTGGGTGTCAGTTCTGTGTCTGGTGCAGCGCCTAGTCAGGGCATGCATATGCAAAATGGACCTATGATGGGGCGTATGGTTGGACAGCAACATTTGCTGCGTGGCCCGCATTTAATGGGCGCTGGAGCAGGCGGTGGTAATGGACCGGGTGGTGTTGTTGGTGCCGGCGGCGGTCCTCGGATGCAAAATCCAAATATGCAGCTGGGTGAGTATCCCTCATGCATTATTCTAATGAGAGGCTTAACTAATTGTCTTTACGTCTATTGTGTGCAGGCCAAATCAATAATATGCCTTATGGAGTCGGCAACTATGGTGCACCAGGCAACAACAATACGCAGCAGCAGCAACAGCTACTTGCTCAGCAGATGGCGCAGCGCGGTGCCGGTAGTGTCGTTGCGCCCAATATGAGCGCCGGCATGCCGCAGGGAAACCGACCTATTGGTACAGTTGTGCCCATGCCCAATATGGGCGGAGATGGTGCGCCACCAGGCGCAGGTGGACTTGTTGGTAATCCTCAGCAGCAGCAACAGCTGGCAGCAGCGAATGCACAAATGAATTCCCAGCAGCAACAGCAACCACCGGGCGTGCAACAGGGCGCACTGGGGCCACGCGCACCGCAACCAAACCAACTCTTAGGACATTCTCAGCAACAACAACAACAGCAGCAGCAGCCAGGAACATCTCAACAGCAAACAATAGTATCGGGAGTGGCTTCATCCGTTAGCGTAGCGGCTCCAGCGCCGGGCAGCATGTCGGATGAGCGGAAGAAGCAAATACAGCAACAGCTCATGCTATTGCTGCATGCCCATAAGTGTAACAGGCGCGAGAACATGAATCCCAACCGCGAAATCTGCAGTGTGAACTATTGCAAAGCCATGAAAGCTGTATTGGCGCATATGGCAACGTGTAAGCAGAGCAAGGACTGTACCATGCAGCACTGCACTTCGTCGCGACAGATACTGCTCCACTACAAAACCTGCCAGCGCTCCGATTGTATCATATGTTACCCATTTCGACAGAACGGCGGGGGAGGAGGTGCAGCTGGGGCGCCAAATGCATCACCTTTACAGCAACAACAACAGCAGCAACAACAGCAGCAGCAGCAGCAACAGCAGCAGCAGCAACAGCAACAACAACAACAGCAACAACTACCGCAGGGCCAACAGCAGGTTCCGCAAAATCCGTCCGGCGTAGGGGTCGGAGTTGGTGTTGGTGGTGTTGGGGTCGGCGTAGATAGCAAACAAGTGGCGCAGAGCGCTGGAACTTGCGGCGCACAAAATACGGCAATTGTTTTGCCGCAGCAGCAGGCGCCCGGCGCGACCAATGTGCCCAAGAGTAATACAGACATGGCACAGCAACAGCAGCAGCAACAACACCAACAGGTGCAACAACAAGAGCTGCGACGATTTGAGGGGGTTGGCAGCATAGGCCAGGTTGGACCGGTCACAGCTGGCATGCTGGGAGCACAAGGCATGACACCTGGTATAAGGTTGCAGGGCGCACCATCGGTGCGTGTGCTTGGCGTGCAGCCTGGTCAGCCAGGTGGTGCAATATCTGGCGTAGTGCCAGTACCTGTGCCTGTGCCCGGACAAAACGTTTTGCCCGGAGCCAACGACGTTAGCAGTCTACAGCAGCAGCAGGCGCAGGCCGCACAGCAGAGTGGACAATTGATGCTGCAGGGTTGCAATACTGGCAGTGGACGCAGGCGCGCGCTTCCCAATATGGTAGAGCAGCAGCCCAATGCGCAACAACAGAATGTGCAACAGCAACAGCAGCAATTGGGCAACATTCCAGCGCCATTGTCCGTCAACGTTGGCTTTAACAATGCCAATTTCGTTGGCGTCGGCGACAAGCAACAGCAACAATTAGTTGGCCAGTCTGATCAAATGACCAAGCTTAAATTGCTGGCTCAAGCGCGGGCGCATATGAATGTCGTCTCAGCTGGGGCGCCCGGCACTGGTAACAGTGCATCTGGTGCTAGCGTATTGATGCCGGCGGATACAACAGGGGGTGCCAACAGTACATCAACTGGTTCGAATGCATCGGGCACTGGAGCAGGAGGCGCTGGCGGTGCTGGTGGAGCAGGCGGTGGGGCGCCTGGCAGTGGCAGCGACAACGAGAAAGACTGGCGAGAATCGGTGACTGCAGATTTGCGCAATCATTTGGTACACAAACTGGTGCAAGCGATCTTTCCGACATCGGATCCAACTACAATGCAGGACAAGCGCATGCATAATCTCGTCTCGTACGCTGAGAAAGTGGAAAAAGATATGTATGAGATGGCCAAATCGCGTTCTGAGTACTATCATCTGCTGGCCGAGAAGATCTACAAGATACAAAAGGAACTGGAGGAAAAGCGTCTCAAGCGCAAGGAGCAACACCAACTGCAAATGCTACAAATGCAACAAGGCGGTCCCAACAGCGGGGTTGTTAATCCAACGTCGGTGGCCAACAATTCGCTTCAACAACAGCCGGGCCAGGGTGTGCGTCCCATTATTAGTCCAATGGGCGGTGGCGGCGGCGTAGGCGGGGGTCCGAGTGGTATGATGCAACAACAGATGCGTCCCCAGGCTCCAGGAATGGGCGGCGGTGTCAGCCAGCAGCAGCAGACGGCGGCCGGTCAACCGAACATGGTGGCTGTAGCGGATAGCATACGCAGTCATTCACCCGGCGGAAATATGCTCGCGGTACAGCAGCAGCAACGTATGCAATTCCCGCAACAGCAGCAGCCTGGTCAGGGCAATATGTTGGTTGGACCGCCAGGTCCAAGTCCAGGCGGAATGGTGGCTAATCCAGTTCTGTCGCCATTTAACACGCAGCAGACAATGCAATCGGCTACGTCAGTGGGCGGTGGCCCGGGCATATTAACGAGTCCGGTGCCCGGGCAGCAACAACAGCAGCAGTTCATAAATGCCAATGGCAGTTCCGGTGCACAGAATCCTCAGATAAGCGAGATTATGAAACAGCGTTTGCTGCAGCAACATCAACAGCAAACGAACGCAGCCATGCTATTACCGCAGTCTCCCTACAGCAACGCCACGCCTATTCAACAGCCACAACAACAACAACAACAACAGCAACAGCAGCAGACGAATGCGTTTAGTTCGCCGATGCAACAAAAGACTCAGCCACCTGGTAGTGTGCTTAACAATATGCCACCAACGCCCACCAGCTTGGATGCTTTGAATGCGGGAGCAGCTAGTGCAGGCGCTGGTAGTATTGGTGGTGGCACTGTGGCTGCTCCAAGTCCATCGCCGAGCTTCATGTCCAATGGACCAATTGGCACGCCATCGAACAATCCGCCCTCTGTCAGCAGTCTAATGCAGCCGTTGAGTAATCGTGCAGCAACTCCGCCATATATACCTACCTCGCCTGTGCCGGCAACGAGCGCTTCAGGATTAACAGCCAGCAGTACGCCCGCATCAGCAGCAGCTACTTGCTCCAACAGCGGAAGTGGCAGCAACATCAGCAGTACCAGCAACTCGGCAGTCACAACGACAACGGTTACAACAGCGGTCACGACTCCACTGAGCTGTGCATCGTCATCAGGAGCAACACCAACATCGACGACAACTTCAACAAGCGGCAATGGCAGCTCAACGCCAGCGAGCAGCACCCTGCTGCAGATGGCGCGCAGCAATATCGAGAACAGTGCTCCTGGCCGTGTGATGAGCAGCTCGAGCAGTTTATCATCACAGATGGCGGCACTGGAGGCGGCGGCACGTGATAACGACGATGAAACGCCATCGCCGGCTGGCGCAAACGATACGAATGGAAGTAATGGTGGCAGTGGTGGAATGTCATCAAAGGGTAAACTGGACTCCATCAAACAGGAGGACATCAAAAAGGAGTTCATGGACGACAGTTGCGGGGGCAATGGCGACAGCTCACAAATGGATTGCTCGACTGGTGGCAAAGGCAAGAATGTCAACAACGACGGCACCAGCATGCTGAAAATAGAAATAAAATCCGAGGATGGGGTTTGTGATGTGAAAACTGTGAAGTCTGACCCAATGGATGTGGATGAATCGGCTGTTTCCAGCGGCATTGCTGGTGGCGCCAACGGTGATAGAAAGATAGGTGTGGGTGGAGTCGATAGCAAGGACGACATAAAAGGGGCCATCGACGGCGTTTCCTCGGGACTGCCATCGGATATCAAAATCAAATCCGAGACGAAACCCCATGTTCCTGAACCACTAGCACCCAACGCTGGAGACAAAAAGAAGAAATGCCGTAAGTTTCAATTTCTTACCAATATTTTCTGCACTGGATATGGGAGAGTAGTGCGGCATACTGTCTATCGACATTAATAAGAAAGAGACAGCAATAGTGTGAAGAAGGCGATACAATGGCAGAGATGTGGATCGTGGCTTTAATGTTTCTAATTATTTCGTTGTAGAATTCAACCCGGAAGAGCTGCGCAGTGCACTGATGCCCACGCTGGATAAGCTGTACCGTCAGGAGCCGGAGTCGGTGCCATTTCGTTATCCAGTCGATCCACAAGCGCTGGGTATACCCGACTACTTTGAGATTGTTAAGAAGCCAATGGACCTGGGCACCATTCGCAGCAACATATTGAATGGCAAATACAGTGATCCCTGGGAGTACGTGGACGATGTGTGGCTAATGTTCGACAATGCGTGGCTCTACAACCGCAAGACATCGCGTGTTTACCGTTACTGCACAAAGGTAACACTGCTCAAACAACCATTAAAACAAAGAAACGCCATTAGCCTATCCTTGTTTCATTACTTCGATCATTAGTAAAATCAAATGCGAATTTCGCGCTTTTTATTATTATTCGGGCGTTGCGCCCGAATCAAAATGCAAGTTTTGAAAGGCTTATGCATAATTAAACAATCTTTTTTTTGTTTGCTCTCTGTCCACAGTTGTCGGAGGTGTTTGAAGTTGAGATAGATCCTGTGATGCAGGCGCTGGGCTATTGCTGTGGCCGCAAGTACACGTTCAATCCGCAGGTGCTATGCTGCTATGGCAAACAGTTGTGTACGATACCGCGCGATGCCAAATACTACAGCTACCAAAACAGGTGCGTTTCCATTGAAAGTGACAAGTCACTTCTAGTTGTAAATATACATACATATAACACACATACATGCGTTCATATACAGCTGTTGTTAATATCCTTTTATCTAGTCATTTTTTACGAATTTTGTACCAACAAATTTGTTTCTTATATCTAAGAAATACTCAATTTTGTATGCAAAGAAAACTTGAAGAAAATAATCAAGCAACATTGAAGTTTTTCGTAATTTATTTTTGACTTTTGAAGCAAATGATAATTGATTTCCTTTTAAAAGCTCATTTTTTTATATTTATATATAAATTATTATCTGATTATGAGTTATATTATCTGATTAAAATCTTTATTTAAGTAATATATAATTTGTTGGCACATGATATAATTAACAAAGTCACAGTCTTGAGCATTTGTTCTTTAACTAGTTGTCAACAGCTGTATGTAAATACAGGTACAGATACATACACATACACAAGTACACATATATAACAAGCGTTGCTTAAGCCAAATGTTTTTTGTAATTCCAAAAAATAGTGTACAAAAAACACGCAAAATTCTTGTGCGATTTTGTTTGTTTTATGCACCAAATACTGTTGAAAGAGAGAAAGGGAGAAAGAGCGAAAGAGAAAACAATAAAAAAGAGGAAAATTTAATAGGTTTTATGCGAATGTTGTACACTGAAACAACGCCAGTTATATAATACAAATAATGTTCGGAATATCTTGTGCATTTCGATTGCATCTCGAACACACAGAAATACATTTATCAAATATATAAAAATGTAGTAGTAAAAACATGGAAATATGTTTCATATATCGACACGCTGCTCTGAGCCCTGAAAACGGCTTTCCACATCAAGCGATGACAGCACATATCACGGCCTCATTCTCCATTAAGTTGCTTCTTCGGCACACTATGATTAAGTAAGAAATTAGTTGAAATTTACTGGGAACGCGGAGCAATGCGATCCGATGAGATGCGATGCGATGCGATCGATGATGCATATGTGTGTGTTTTTCTTTTCATTTATGTTGCATCGTCTCATTTGTATATATTTATATACAATTCAACAAATCTCGCCAGCCTCACACACATGCATTGTAGTGGCCAAAAAAAAAAAAAAATAAAATCAAAAAACAAAAAACACACAGTTTGATGTCCTGCGAGTCTGCCTGGTGCATGTTGTTTGTCTGAAAAAAAAAAGTAAAATAAAAGTACACATACATAATATGCATTGCCAAGACATTAAATACAACTATTTGTGACTTGCTTTATTTAAAAGAGAATATGTATTCTGATTCAATATTGATAATTGGTTAATAACTGGATGAGCGGAGCTCGCCAAAAACAAAAGAAAGAAAAACGAGTCCTTTAAAGCGGAAGCTTCTTATAATTGTGATTTGAGAGCTATTAAAATCCACTTTCTGTGTGTGTGTACCCTAGCTTTCTAATAAAAACTGTGTTCATTTGCTTTCGATTTGGCTCGCTTTCTATATCAATGTTTATATCTATTCTATATTTGATAAATCATATGTTATATATGTATAAGTGTGTATCGATGTACAATTCTGCAGACATCAATTAACAATGCTCATTAGCACAACGGAAATCATCTCATGCAGAGATATTGTCGTTGGTTTCTTGATTTACTTATTTATTTATTTATTTTTCTCTAAATATCTAATATAATTTAATAATTGCGTATTATAAGATTCTAATTTTTAATATATTCTTTTATTTATTTTTTTTTCATTTCCTAATCATTTCGTTACACTCCGTTGACAACTTATGTGTTGCTCATGTAATTGCATAATCTAACGAAACTCACACAAATTATTGTTAAAAAAAAAAAAAACGAACATAAACACATACTCAAACACCACCAAAATGTTAATGCACATACGTATTTGGCCACTATTAAATCTATTCAAATGTTGCTCATATACATCTACATAAAATACCTCGAATATGTACACATATGTACTTGTTGTTGCTGTTTGTGTGACATTTTTTGTTTATTTATGCTGCCTTTGGCAATCATTTCGTATATCGTGCGTGTTATATCAATTGTCCAATTGTTCATCGCCTATCGTCATTGCTCATCGCCATCAATTCGTAAATTGTTGCCATGAAATCAATCACCACAGTCTAAAGGAATACGGTGTCGCCTCAAATAGATACACGTTCTGCCAAAAGTGCTTTAATGACATTCAAGGAGATACTGTTCCTTTGGGCGAGGAACTGCAGTCCCAAACGTAAGTTACCAGCAGGATCAAGTCTGTAGAATGGAAATTTGCTAACACTTTGAATTTCGTCATCATTAGGCAAATCAAGAAGGATCAATTTAAAGAGATGAAGAACGATCACTTGGAACTGGAGCCCTTTGTCGACTGTCAGGAGTGCGGACGCAAGCAGCATCAGATCTGTGTGCTTTGGCTGGATTCGATATGGCCGGGCGGCTTTGTGTGTGATAATTGTTTGAAGAAGAAAAATTCCAAACGAAAGGAGAACAAATTCAATGCGAAGCGTTTGCCCACCACCAAGCTGGGCGTCTACATCGAGACGCGCGTAAATAATTTCCTAAAGAAAAAGGAAGCTGGTGCTGGTGAGGTGCACATACGTGTGGTATCCTCATCGGACAAGTGTGTTGAGGTAAAGCCGGGCATGCGACGTCGATTTGTTGAGGGCGGGGAGATGATGCAAGACTTCCCATATCGGGCGAAGGCCTTATTTGCCTTTGAAGAAGTGGATGGCATTGATGTCTGCTTCTTTGGCATGCACGTCCAGGAATACGGGTCCGAGTGCCCGGCGCCAAATACGCGACGCGTGTATATTGCTTACCTTGATTCAGTGCATTTCTTTCGACCGCGACAATATCGCACGGCAGTTTATCATGAGATTCTGTTAGGCTACATGGACTACGTGAAACAGCTGGGCTATACGATGGCACACATTTGGGCGTGTCCGCCTTCTGAGGGCGATGACTATATATTTCATTGTCATCCGACAGATCAGAAAATACCCAAGCCGAAGCGCTTGCAGGAGTGGTATAAGAAGATGCTTGATAAGGGTATGATTGAGCGCATTATACAGGACTATAAGGACATACTTAAACAGGCCATGGAAGATAAGCTTGGTTCGGCCGCGGAATTGCCCTACTTTGAGGGTGACTTTTGGCCCAACGTGCTTGAGGAGAGCATTAAAGAGCTTGACCAGGAAGAAGAGGAGAAGCGTAAACAAGCCGAGGCCGCCGAAGCAGCTGCTGCCGCTAATGTACGTTTCGTTTTTTTTTTAATATAATTATTAACAAAATAATTTGTGTAACTTAACAGCTTTTTTCAAATGATCTGCAGCTCTTTTCTATTGAGGATAACGAGGTTAGTGGCGATGGCAAAAAGAAAGGCCAAAAGAAGGCCAAAAAGTCTAATAAATCCAAAGCAGCACAGCGTAAAAATAGCAAAAAGTCCAATGAGCATCAGTCTGGCAATGATTTGTCCGCCAAGATTTATGCTACAATGGAAAAACACAAGGAGGTCTTCTTTGTTATACGTTTACATTCTGCCCAATCAGCAGCAAGTCTGGCGGTATGTCGTAGCACGCTAATCGAGTTGAATTTGCCTAATAAAATTCATTTTTCACAGCCTATTCAAGACCCCGATCCGTTGCTGACCTGTGATCTAATGGATGGACGTGATGCATTCCTTACACTTGCCCGCGACAAGCACTACGAATTCTCATCGTTGCGACGTGCACAGTTCTCCACCTTATCAATGTTGTACGAGCTGCACAATCAGGGCCAGGACAAGTTCGTCTATACCTGCAACAACTGTAAGACGGCAGTAGAGACGCGCTATCACTGCACCGTTTGTGATGTAAGTTCAATTTCCAAGCTGACTCCTATTATAATCCGTTTGTCTTAGCCACCATTATGATAACAATTAACAATTTTTTCATATATTCTATTTTATTTTTGCATTGTAGGACTTTGATCTCTGCACGGTATGCAAGGAGAAGGTTGGACATCCACACAAGATGGAAAAACTGGGCTTCGATCTGGATGACGGCTCGGCGGCGGCTGATATTAAGCAGGCAAATCCACAGGAGGCACGCAAACAGTCCATTCAACGATGCATTCAATCCCTGGTGCACGCGTGCCAGTGTCGCGATGCCAATTGCCGTTTGCCTTCGTGTCAAAAGATGAAGCGTGTCGTCCAGCATACAAAGAACTGCAAGCGAAAGACCAACGGTGGCTGTCCCATATGCAAACAGCTTATCGCCCTATGCTGCTACCACGCCAAACACTGTCAGGAGCAAAAGTGTCCAGTGCCTTTCTGTCCCAATATTAAGCACAAACTTAAACAGCAGCAGCTGCAACAAAAGTAAGTAACTGAAAATAAAACATGTCATTTTCTAGATGACTGTGGGGCACTAGTGCCACTAGGTCAATAATCACGATAAAGCTTAACGCTGTTCAAAGTGATGTAGTTGGTCATTTTTTTTATTGATTTTCAACTTTACATTTAATGATTCGTGTACCTCTTAATTACAGATTGCAACAGCAGCAACTACTTCGTCGCCGCGTCGCTCTTATGTCGAGAACCGCAGCTCCTGCTGCATTACCCGGGCCGGCAGTTAGCGGGCCTGTGGTGGCAAGTGGTGCAGTTGGTGTTGGTGGCCCAGTTGTCGGAATGTCTGGTGTGGCAGTTAGCCAGCAGGTGATGTCAGGGCAAGCTGCCATTCTGCCAGCCAGTGGCGGTGGCATGAGTCCATCCACTGTGACGGTACCGTCACCGGTATCTGGTGCTGTTATGGCCGGTATGACATCGCCACATCCGCACCAACCAGGCATTGGCATGAAGCCTGGTGGTCACTCGCCGTCGCCCAATGTGTTGCAAGTGGTGAAGCAAGTGCAGGAGGAGGCAGCCCGCCAACAGGTGCCTCATGGTGGAAGCTTTGGCAAAGGTGTGCCAATGGCTCCGCCTGTCATGCAACGACCAATGGGAGTGGGTGTATCAAACCAAGGCGCTATGGGCGGAATGGTCGCCAGTGTGGGCGGCAATCAGCTTGCTGGAAATGTCGGCGTAGTGCCAGGCGGTGGACAATTGCCCAGCGGGGCAAACTGTAACAATATTTTGAACGCCAATAATCTGCTGCCTTTGGAACAGTGGGGCGGAGGTGGCGGTCCCGGGCAACAGCGCTATACCAACAATGCGCCCAATCAGCCAGGCATGCGTCAGCCCAATCAGCTAATGCAGCAGAATATACAACAACAGCAAATGATGGGCATGCCACCTAATCAGCTGGGCGTCGGAGTTGGAGTGGGAGTTGGAGTTGGAGCTGGTCAGATGCCCGTAGTTGGCACTGGTGTGAACATGGGCGGCGGTGGAGCGCCTCATGGCATAGGCTTGGGAGCACAAATCGGTGCCGCAGCCTCTGGCGGCGGTGTACGACCACCCGGAGCTCAAGGCGTGGGCGGTGGTGGAGCTGGCGGAGCGGGGCCGAACATGGGAAATGGCCCGCCCCTCAACACGCAAACACTGGCCCAGATCATGCAGAAGATCAAGAACAATCCAACAAATGAGAGCAACCAGCACATACTCAGCATACTGAAGCAAAACCCACAGATTATGGCGGCCATCATAAAACAGCGCCAGCAGAGCCAGATAAATGCTGCCGCTGGCGGAGCTGGGGGCCCGGGAGGCGCACTGCAGGCTGGCAATGGACCACAAACACCGCAGCAGCAGCAACAACAGCAGCAGGTCATGCAGCAGCAGCACATGCAGCATATGATGAATCAACAGCAACAGGGACCTGGCCCCGGACCTCAGCAAATGGGGCCCGGCCAGCAGCAGCAAGTCAGCTTAATGCAGGCAGCGCAACAGCAGCAACAGGGACCTCCGCATCAGCGCATGGCCAACATGCAGAATACGGCAATGATGCTGCCAAATTTGCCGCCAGGCTCTCAAGGAGGCATGGTAAGTGAAGAAGCCGAGTCCTAATCTAACAACTTTATTTTGCACTGTGAACATAAAATCAGTAAACAGCTAGTAGACGTGGTAACATAAAGTTCCAGCTTTACCAGCTCCTAGTCGATATGACCTAATCCTGGGTGCGCTCACCTCATCTGATGTGTCATTTTCTGATTAAATGCTATTTCTTTCGCACAGGTTCCCAACCAAAACTGGAATAAAATGCGCTATATGCAAATGAATCAATATCCGCCTCCATATCCACAACGCCAGCGCGGCCCACACATGGGTGTTGCTGGACAGCCGCCATTTCCAGGTGGCACCGGTGGCAACTTTAATGCCGGAGGCGGTGGAAACGTTACCGGATTACCAGTAGCCGGTGCAACTGTGGGTAGCGGTGCGTCCGGCCCCGGTTCTGACCAATACTCTATGGCTAATGCAGCTGCCTCCAACATGTTGCAACAGCAGCAAGGCGGCGGCGGCGCTGGTGTTAAGCCCGGTCCGCAACAGCAACAACAGCAGCAGCAACAGCAGATGGGTGTTATGCCACCAGGTATGCAGCAACAACAGCCTATGCAGCAGCAACAACAGCAGCAGCAAATGATGCAGGTTGTCGCCGCTGGTGGTGGCGGCATGAGCAACGCAAATCCTCAAAATACGCTGGCTGGTGGCGGTGGTGGGCCTAGCGGACCCGGTGCAAATGTGATGGGTCCGCCAACACCACATACGCTGCAGCAGCAGCTTATGCAGTCGGCACGGTCCTCCCCACCAATACGGTCGCCACAGCCAACGCCCTCGCCGAGATCAGCCCCGTCTCCACGCGGACCGTCTGCATCACCTCGTGCGCAGCCCTCGCCACATCACGTCATGAGCAGTCATTCACCTGCGCCTCAAGGACCACACGATGGCCTGCACAATCATAGTATGCACCATCAGTCGCCGCTGCCGGGTGTGCCCCAGGATGTAGGCGTAAGTGGAGTCGGCGTCGGTGTTGGGGTCGGAGTTGGCGTTAATGCCGGAAACGTGGGCAATGCTGGTGGCTCTCTGCCCGATGCCTCTGATCAGCTGAGCAAGTTTGTGGAGCGGCTCTAGTGCAACAACAATGCCAATGGCATAGGCAACGACTCCAATAGCAACAGCAACAGCAACAGCAACATCAAAATCACCAACAACAACAACTATAAATACAATGAACAGAAGCAGCAGCAACAGCCGTCGCAGTCACCCCATTATTTTTGATGTTTGCCAATGGCGTTTGTGCTCCTCCTATGTTGATACAAAAATGCTTGGACAAAATTTGTGTGTTAATCGTTATGTACTTTCTTATGTAGAGATATGTTTACTATCAGCAATCGGCTGTCAACTATTATGTAATTTAGTTTATTTTCGGATCTGCGCCTCAGGTTGTGCTATCGGCACTTAAACATGCACAGGCAGGAGGATTGCAACCACGCGTTTATATACAAATATACACCTTTAATTATAAATTTAGTTTTTGGGTAAAGCACAGACAGCATCTGCAATTGCAAATGCAACAATTTTCATTACGATTCTAATTCTTATGTACCATATGCTTATTATCGCAGAAGCGTAACACACGCATCTATATATATATATATATATATATATATATATGTATATGTATATGTATATGTATATGTATATGTATATATATAGATATATATATATATATATATATATATATATATGTATATGTATATGTATATGTATATGTATATGTATATGTATATGTATATATATAGATATATATATATATATATATATACTTTTTTTTTTGTAATATCTACGTATTATTCAAAATCTTTTCTATCAATGTTTAGTGCAATCGATTAGGAGACTTGCTCGCAACCGTGGCAAATGGGTAATATTATATATTTTGTAAACGTAAAACGTTAAATTATGTTTTCTCTTTAGTATGCAAAATATATTCAACACAATATAAATATATATATTTCTGAAGATGCTGAAAGTAAACAAACAAAAACAAATACAAAAAAAACAAAAAAAAAAAAAAAACAAAAAACAGAATGTAACAGAAAATATGGAAAAATAGTACATTATATTATATTATTATTATATCTGAAAAATAGTACATACAATTTTTATTATACATTATATTTATTTAAGTCGTCTATTCTACGTAAATGCGATTTTACCTATATGTCTTAAATCGAACATTTCATCGATGCAAATAGTTTTGAAGCTAATTTATTCTTATTTTAAAAGATTAATTTTTTTTACCTAACTTTAAGTCCAAAAATATCATTCTAAATCAAGAGACACGCAACAAAACAAAACAAAACAAAAATATTAATAATAAAAAGAAACCATGTGTTAGGACTATCATAACTATCGAAAGAATATAGACTATATAAAACGCATGCGAATAGTGTTTTATGGCTATCAATTCTAAAGCTTAGTTGTTGGCGATCGTCAGTTTATTATCTGCTCCTTATAGGAGCTTGAATTGGGAACACGCTTAGAAATATTTTTCTTTAGATACCACCATATACATAAACAAGTATGAATCGATATATGTGAATAAATATACATATATACATATATATATATATATAAGTTATATATATATGTATATATATATGTATATGTATATATATCTACATATGTATGTTGGAATGTGAAAAGATCAAACAAAATCAAGAAAACAACGCTCCATTTTATATCAACTTCCAATTGACATACAACAATAAGATTAGTAGAAGTGCAACTTGCAACCCGAAAACACCAACGACCAAATAACACTCACTTAAAGCAATTAAAGCAATAGTCAAATGCTTTCATTAACCAATTAGAATTGTACAACTTATTCGAAACAGTACAGCCTTACATACATATAGATAACTAAAGATTCGTTGAGCATTTTGAATCATTTTACCGTTTTGCTTTTCGTAAGCATATATGAAACTTAAACACACGTTTTTGCCACCAATTGTAAATACCTAACGTAATTTATTTAGTATTTCATTTTGTGATAGTTAAAGAAAAACAAAGCAGAAGAAAAACCAGAAAAAATAATAGAAAAGAAAACATCGGTCTTAATTTAAAAAATATTTAATTTCTTTTGTTTATTTTATTTTTTTTTTTGCAACTTTGTTCACGTTTGTCTCAAAAACAAAAAAAAAAAAACAAAAACAAAATACCCAAGGAAGAATATACCATGTTAATTTTATTTAATATTGAAATTTTAATAATTGCTATTTATTAACGCTAGACATATACATTTTAGACATAGGAAGCTAGTCGTAAGGCGTACACTATTTACTAGGTGATTAGCATTTAGATTGTAGTCTACATTTTTTATAAGCTTTGGAATACGCCCATATTTTTTACAAGAGTTGCCGCCGCCCAAGAATCGTGTATAGACAGAGAGAAATAAACAACAAAAGAAAATGAAAAAAAAAAAAAAAAAAAAAACAAAAGGAAAATCGAATGGAAAGTTGAGTGTAAGGGAGAAAGAGCGTTAAACATTTTGTAAATTACATATACATACACAAACATGTATTCATATTATACACACAAATATATATATATATATACATATGTCTATTCATAGATACAGAGTATATTAACATTCGTTTAAGTCGAAATGTAACTGCGCATAGCAAATGCCTTCATAAATGCGTTAACAAAACAAATTGAACATTTATTGTAAATAAACATACTGGCGCTTAAGCTTCGTATGTACATTGCTATATGGTACGTATAAAACAATTGTAAGTCAAATCCAATGGCCTAGTTCTTAGTATCGCATATATCTATACATATGTATAACCATTAAACCATTCACTATATATATATATATATGTATATGTATATATATATATTTATATATATATATATATATATGTACATATACAGTTTGAGTTTTTAAGCCCACTAGTTTGTTAACTAAATAATAATAATGAAGAGAAAAACAACAAACAAACAAAAAAAATTAGCCAAAAGAAAGTAGTGTCTGTGCCTGTGTTACTGCCGCTAAGCGTCCATATGCGCCGCACAATCAAAACAAAAAAAAAAAGAATAATAATAATAATATAAATAAACACAATTAGTGGCTTAGGAGTTGCCGCCCAGCTCCTTGGGCCCTTGTAAAAATATTGATACAAGTAAAACGAAACGGAAACATGACGCTGCCTTTAAACAGCGGTTGCTATGGCGCGCTGAGCGGCATGCATGCGGCACAGCCAGAAATATTTAAAAACAAGAGAAAAACAAAAAAAAAATTAAAAAAAAAATAATTGAATAACCAAAAAAAACAAAAGAAAACAAAAACAAAAATGGAAAAGTTAGATCCGATGTTGGCTATCTAACTGTTTTGTTATATGGTCCCGTCAGCAGCAATGAACAAAGTTTTAATGAGTTGTGCGTGTGCGTGTGTCCATGTATGTGTGTTTGCGTGTATTGATTTGTGCATGGGATAAATTATAATAACAACTCTGATTTCTAAAGACAGCACCTATGTGAGAGAGGGAGAAGGAAGGGGAGAGGAAACGAAAGGGAGAGGGATGGGAAAAGAGAGAGAGAGCATATTCCAAAACTATTTGTGATTACAATTATAAATGAAGAGAAAACAAAACACAAAACACATGCATTAACTGTGTATATCGCGAAATGAGAGTAATAACATAGTATCTAAGTCTTAGCCTAAAATCAAGCGACATCTCTAAATATTACAAAAATATATATATAAATAAATATATATATATATATACATATGTATGCATATACAAGCAGCGGAATAGTTAAGTACGATTGTAAATTTTAAAAACCGAAATCATAATTTAATCGAATGGCAAGTGGAAACGATATGTCCGCATTGCTAACAACGTTTATTATTATTATTATGCATAAAACATGCAATTTCTTAAACTGCTGCGAATAGCAAAACAAATACAAAAACAAAAGAAACGATAACAACAAAATGAAGTAAACAACAAAACCACGAAAACAACATAGTTAAGTCAAGTGTAAGCCAAGCCTTAGTAAAACTAGTTATAATTACAAAAACAACAACAAACAACTGCAAAGAAATACTATAACTTATAATCTAAACACTGGTTACAATATATTATAATAATTACTTGTAAAATAGCTCGAAATGTATTTCTGCATATAAGACAAAACAAAACAAAACGAAAACAAAAACAAAAAACAAAAAGAAAAAACCATTGCGATTTTGTCACTTATCAATTAATTTTTTAATTACAACTTTTTTTTTCTTCATTGTTTTACCAAACGTGTTTTTTTTATATTGATTAATTTTTGTACTTTGTAACTTAATATAAATATATTTAACATGATTAAACTGTAACAATATAAACATAAATCACACCAACACCAACAACAACAACACACACACACATTGTAATTAACAAAATACTTTGCTAAAAAGTGTAAAATAATTTAATTTAAATAAAAATTATGAAATTTAATTTTTCCTTAAAACGCATTTTTAATATTTGTTAACATATATTATAAAAATGTATGTGTTTAAAAGTCAGACTGCAGAAATATATCTACATTTGAAGATGATTGCCCGATGGGTAATCGATAATGCTTGAAGATAATAGATTTCTCTCTATGAGTATTCACAGCTCAAGAATGATGGATAATGGATAATGCTTGAAGGCTATATATTTATATAGAGATGATTGTCTTCTCTCTGTGAGTAATTACAACTCAAGAAATATCCATTCTATCTCTACATCTGGATTTATATATATAACGTGCAGAACTGGATTTGGAATTGTCCAATATCATAGATTTAGATCTCGTTACAATATTGAAGTATTTCTTAATTTTACTAGGTAAGCTTGTTAAACCGTCTACTTGTCCACTACCTTTGTACTACTTCCTGGAAAGAAGTTCCCAAATGTTTTCAAAAATGTTTATGTACGGCGAGTATAGCAGTCAGTCGAGCAATTTAACATTTCGGTAGCTAATCTCTTGTTGTTTTATGAGCCTTATCATACTGGAAAGTTCATGAAATACTATTGCTAGCCAGACTTTACAGATCATCAAGATGGCATTCCTCATTCCACGCCATATGCTGTGCTGCACCAAGGTACTCCCTACGGTATCCATGGTAGTTGTCTACATAGAGATAGTTTCTTTTTAGAAGACGTGCTTGATATATATATATATATATATATATATATATATATATATATATATATATATATATATATATATATATATATATATATATATGAAATTTGAAATATCTGGAGTCTGGCTATCTTCTACTACATATAGGAGTCGGCCAGGGTTAGATCGAGTTGTTTAATAATTATTGAATAATTGAATTGAATTATCTTGTCGACACATAGCTGTAAAGTTTCTTAACTTAAAAGTTATTCATCTTTATTCTGTCGACATTCAATCTAATTCTATGCCTTTCCGAAGTCTACTTTTCTGATAAACAATATTGTAAAAAGTTTCCACATTTTTATTGTTTTGTTATCTAACTATGAAATTGTTGATAAAACGTCTGTCTTTAAATAAATTCTATTTAATACCATTATTATTTTCGAATACTAAAAATATTTGTGCTTATCAATTCACTGAATTTTAATTAGCTGCATATTGTGTTATTTATAAATCGCATGATTAATGTGATTAATAAAATTAAGCTGCGGTTAATTGGAGAACCCAAATGACGAAGATAACTTTTGTACTTCCCATAACCCATAACCCACGAGACGAGACGAGAATAGAAAAAGAGAAGAGAAGAGAAGAGAAGAGAAGAGAAGAGAAGAAAGAGAGAAGAAGAGAGAGAAGAAAAGAAAGAAGAGAAGAGACGAGAGAAGAGAAGAAGAGAGAGAAGATAAAAGAAAGAAGAGAAAGAAGAGAAGAGAAGAAGATAAGAAGAGAGAGAAGCAGAAGAGAAGAAAGAGAATAAGAACAGCAGAGCGTCCCAAGAGCAGCTCGAAGCGAGAACGCCGAGCCCCGAGATCCTCAACTCCTCTCCGCTCCTCTCCGCTCCGCTCCTCTCCTCCTCCTTCCTCCTCCTCTCCTCTCCTCTCCTCTCCTCTCCTCTCCTCTCCTCTCCTCATCCTCTGCCTCTACTCTCCTCTAAGAGAAGATAAAAGAGAAGAGAAGAGAAGACCATAATTATCCAGTAAATTCGTCGCGGCCCCGAAAGGAACTCTATACAAATATCTTCAATGCCGCAGCAAATTTAAATCGACAAACTGATAACTCGCCTATTAAAGGGTTATTGTTAAATAATAGTAAAGCAAAATTAAAAATTATATTTTTAATTTATTATTGCTAGACTTTATTATTTTTATACTGAGCTGAAACCGTATATAAACACGTATATGTGAGGCATAACCGACTGCCTAATACTTGTGCACAAACATTTATATTTATTTATGTATTTACAAAATATAAAAAATATCAATTATTTGTGTATTTGTAGAGATACCTGAATAGATGCCATGCCTAGGTAATATATGTATTGCACAAAACCAATATACTCTATTCACATCTTGGTTAACGAACCAATATAAAACTCGTGCGGGAGCAACGCCATTGATAAGATTACGGCTAAAGATTAAAATACACGAAACGCTCTATTGGCCAGAATTTAGGTCTTGCCGTTCCCACGCCATTTACTGACGTATACTACGCACGAGCTTTGTGTAAACTTATGGCAATCGATTGCAGGCGTGCCCCTAAATCAGAAGTAAGGTGCCAATAGGCCATCAGCCTGAAGTGTATTACCTGATATTATTGTGAATCGAATGTTAAGCCATAGTCAAACACTACACGAAAATCATGTAAATCATTGCAAACAGTTAAAAGTGCTCCTCTAGTCGGCAGTGAACGACTAGCGAATACCTTGAGCTGAAATTTGATATCCATTTGCATTGATACCTTGAAATAGAAAGACCTATTGATTACTCAAAGCTTAAGATAGAACACTCGCCGACAACAGTAAATCGAAATTGATCAACTTAAAAGTTCGTATACCCTGTTAAATACATTAAATTGTCTATTGTTTTTGTCCATGAGTTCGTAACAGGAAAAAGAAAAGATGTGTCTATTCTACATTGAGATAGATTGAACTATTAGTTTTGTAAGTTACACAGGATAATACATTATAAAGGATGAACAAGCAAGAGGGATACTTTTTTCGATTCATAATTCTGAAATGGCTTCAGTTGTCGATAAGTTTAATTTGCAGAAATATTCTATAAGACTTGCCATTCAACATGTCAGATCAATCAATAAAAAGGTGGGAAGTTATGAAGGAGAAATTTAGAGAAATTATACTAAACGCTTAAAGCACTGCCAGCACAACTAAGACAAACATTTGCATAATGTTGCTGCAAAATAATCACAGAAAATATATATTAATATCTGAGTCCACGAATTTCTTTAGCCATTTCTTGAGCCATTGCTCTTATTTGCTCACCCCAGACTGTGAGGCAATTGTCGCTGGTTACACGGCATATTCGAGTCTGATTATCACTTTTGCTGTTTCTATGCCAAGCTGAGCTGAAATTTTGAGATAGGTCCGTACTTCTGATACAGCTACAAGGTCGACAGCACGGGTAAATCAAAGAAACAAACGGTCATAAATTTAGTTTTATTATAGTATACAAGTTTATGCGTTTATACAAAAGATTTACTTTGATATATAATTATAGCAGTCTCTTTCCGAGTCTACCCTTTTTTTCTGATTCCATATTTGCAAAATCGAATCGCTATATTAAGCAGTTCGTATTAACAATAATCTCTTTTATAGAATCATTTCTATATCATATGTCTACGTAATGTTTAATCTGTTTTTTTTTTTTTGTTTTGTTTTATTATTTTATTGCGTCCGCCAAGCAATAAGGTGTATTTCTTTTCGACCAAAGTTTCCGCCTATGGATCATAAAACCTTATTATAGATAAGATCAACAGTAGCTTAGGTACGCTGCCCCAATATAGTATGCATATGATTGAACTTTTTAAATCTGACCAAACATGTGATTAAGGAGGAAAATCTAGAAAACTAAAGAGTTTAACGTAGTAGCATCATTCGAAGGTTTCAATGCGTTTGTCTACCTTGAACACATAGTCAAAAGAGGCAGACCCGAAAAAATATGGTAAATTTTATTTGTGAGAGAGAAGAGAAAACCAATATCAAGTTTCATGTTTCAGCTGGAATAACTGAAGTGAGATATTCTTGATTATTTGAAATTAGAAAAGGATCTCTTTATAACATTTCTAGTTTCTAACAATATTTTTTTGTAGCTTTCTGTCGACTTACCAAAATTCTGAATGCTCCCTGACTGACTGAAGGACGTGATCTCGTATGCAAATTTGCCAAAGGCGACGTTGAAGTTCCGCGCCTAAATTAAAATTTAAAGGATTGAAAAATTCGTAATTCTCTCGCTTTGATCGTTCTCTATTTTATTATATCAATATCTAAATATTTTTTATATTTCGACATGGCATTAGAACTAGGACTGAATGCATTTCATGGGTTCAGTTATATCAATTGTAACACAAGCAAGGAAGAGTGCTCTTGTCGGGAATGCCCCACTAGGTGATACCCTGAGCCCAGTGCAGAGCTGATATTCGAATCATTCTATGCTTTTTGTACGTATATTACAAACGAAAAATAGGGCAATCATTCAATATATTTGTATATATTCTGTGTATTTATTACAGATGAACGACTTTCAGTAGTAGTAAGGCAATGAAATGAGTTCTCGAGAGCTGCGTAGGATATACAGAAATATTTATTTAAGACTTCAAGCCTGCAGATTAAGTGGCTCGATCGCCTCAGCTCGTCGTTTTGATCAAAAGTTTATATAGAATTTAAGGGATTTGCCCCGCCTTCTTCTGCCAGTTACATTCATTTTCACAAAACTACGATGAGTTTCCATTTCCAATGCTTTCCACACAAGAATTTTAAAGATTAAAGCTTCTTTTGTTGCTTAACTCCGGCCTAAATATATGTCCTGTAGACAGAGTTAAGTCTGATTTGACTAAATTGTTTGATTTTCTTCAAAATACTTTGAACTCGAGATGTTAACGAGCGTCATTTAAGTCTAGGCATACGTGAGGTATGTATATGAATTATTAGTGCCATGTGTATGTGGACTGCATTGCGATGAGATTACTGAATTACCAACAAGTTTCATGAAAAATACTGATAGTGCCGTGATCAAAGGCTAATTGAAACTACAAAGCGAAAAGAAGAAGTAGAGAAGAAGGAGAAGAATAAGCAAAGGCAGGTTTACTCACACCTTGTCCACACTGCGATCAAAGTTCAATTGTTTTCTTTTTTGGGCTTTCCAGTAATTTAATTAGCTGCGTTCAACTATAAATTGCAAGTTATCTGTACAGTTTTAAAGGCTGCTTTGACATAATTTACACCTGTGGCATGGAGACGGGTACGAGTGAGCGTGCGAGCGACAAATCCCAGTTAAATCCGCGCTGGTAACGCGACCCAACCAGCGCTGAGCTTGTCAGAAAGATAAGCAATTGATTATACAGTTGCTTATCACTTTTTTAGCCAGCGCCTGTATCTGTATATTTGAAAAATTATTTATAAATTTCATGGGCAAAAGCGTTTGGTCATCGCGTCAACTCCAATTACTAACACGACGACGTCGTCGCCGTCGCCGTCGCCGTCGCCGTCGACGTCGATGTTGACAGCGTCTGAAGTGGACACTTTAGGCTATAAAAGCACTAGTATCGATTGGCAATACAATTAGTTAACCGCTCGCTCAAAATCGCACGCATCTCTAATTAGCTGGCGATCTGCCCCTATTATACGCGCACAAGGATAACGAAAAGGAGCCGCACGGATAGGAATTATGGCGCAGCTCCATAAGCTGGGTCTGCTCACAGCAGCGTTGCTTCTACTGCTGGCCAACGGGAGCGAAGCATATGCAAAGACCGACAGAGATTTGCTCACCGGACACTCAACGCCCATGGAGGGCAGCTTGGCCTTTCAGTTCTTCGACTTGGCCTCGCAACAGGCGGCCATAGCCAACAGCACGGGCATCCAGCTGGCACGGAGTAGCTCGGCCCGCGGCAACTACGATGACGTCCTGTGCGATAGGGACGTGGCACGCATACGTGACGCCATAAACAACATGGAGGAGTGGGCTCTCGAATGTAAGCGATACTCAAATTAACTCAATAGCCATCAAATGGATATGGGTGAAGGACAGCAAAGCAAAGCTCAAATTCGGATAATCATTCATTTATTCTCGTTATTTCATTATTATTTTTATATATAAATTTTGTAGTGATTTCGAGTGTGAAAATATGTTGGTAGTAGAGTTTATAGTACTATATAGATTCGATATCAACTTATCCAAAGTGTCTAACAAGTCGCGATCATCGTATAAAATTAAGACTCGAAAAGTCTTCAATTCTTACAACATGAAAGTATCGAAGAAGTTTCTCGAAAAATATAAAATATATATATATATATGCAGTGAAGTATTGATCTAAAGAATTTCGAAATATTGCTAAATCTTGTTACATCTTGCATAATAAGCAAGGAAAACAAAAAAGTTTTTGTTTTCATATAAAGTGAGATCTAAAAGGAAAAGAAAAGGCAACAAAATCAAAATAAAGCAGAATTTGTCTTAAAAAAAGGTTAACATAATTCTCAGTATATAAAAAATATAAATAATATATTTTTTATTATATATCTAACACAATTCCCAGTGTATAAAAAAATTATAAATAATTTATTTTAATAACTCGTAAAATATTTTCAACAATATCGTCCTTGCGAAGAGAGAAACGCGAAGTTAATCAGTCTTATTTAAATGCATATATATAAAGATATATACAAGCCTATATGTAAAGATATATACAAGCCTATATATAAAGATATATACATGCATATTTAGTCAATCACCATGCAGCTCTGTTGGCGTTACCCAATATCCCGCTAGCCGGTTGCCAAGGCAAACAGACAATGGCCTATTTGGACACTACTTAAAGTAATAACAAATGACGCAATCTAGGTTCGAGGTTCTAGATTGAGCAGAATTTCCATTCATAAAAGTTAGCGCAAACGTTTTATGCTGCATCGTAAATCAAATTCGAAATCTAAATTTATTGCCCATATGCACTTGTTTATTTTGATAAACGATTAGATTGCGGTAATTAGATTATGATGCAAGATTTCCAGGCGACACTTTAGCCGGCAAACAATCATAAATCATGATTAAGTGACCAGTAATGTGAATGGAAAGGCTCCCTGCGAGGCGATTGATATCGCAGCGATTAAAGTGCTTCTTGCCTCGCCGACAGCCTGCGTCCAACCAATCGCTTCTGATAAGAGCTTCTCAAATAACTTCAGTGTTTATTTACCGACTACTTCAAAAATAGCCAACTCCCAAAATAACGTGCACTTTCGCCAGCGTATGCATATCACAAGTGTTGTTTATTGTTGATATTGACTGATATGCATAAATATATGGAGCGAAAAATTGCGGAAAATGTTATCGTTAGGCACGCATTAGATTAAATACCTTTCTATCAATATTAGTCAGGGGTCTGTTTGTGATTTTAACAAAAGTTATTCATTTATGCCACATTTTCGATTCCTTTCCAAGTATTGAATCCTCAGACCACATTAAAAAAAATCTTTTGGGATCTTATTCAACTCCTCCTACCCCGATGTCTTCTTTATCTACTCAATCTAAGTCGCAGCCTTGCCTTTTTATTATATTTATTATATTTATTTTATAGATTAAAGACTGAGACATGAGTTTGCATAGAAAGGGAAAGACAAATATTGAATGGGTATTTTTTTATGTTAATTAAAAAATTTTCTCTGAATATGATTACTTTTTTTATATATATTTTTTTTATTTATATATATAATCGAAGACTAATAAGCCATATGCAAATTCATCCTAATCTATAAAAACTTAAAATTTGATAACTTTCGATGGCACTTTAAGCGGATAAGTGCTTGAAGAATTAGCCAGTTTTATATTTTTTTTTACCCTAGCTTACTATATAAGCTTAATACAATTTACATTTATTTTACTTGTAGTTCCCGATACATGGGGTCGCCTGCCCGTCGGCTTCTTCTGGGGCCATCTCATTAGCATGGGCCAGTACGAAGAGTGTGTCGCAGCCACAGCCACCTACGGCAATGATCTGAATGGCCAGTATTGCCTGGCCCGCCTGAACATCACCCAGTTCTACAGGAAAGTGAAGCAGCGACATGAGGAATTCTCCCGCATCAGCTACAAGCAAACGGATCCCGAGATCTTTGAGCTGGGCGTCTGCGTGCCGAGCACTTGCAGCGCTGAGAAAACTGATGCTCTGCTGAAGTACGCCATTGCACACTTATATGGCAACGATGTCATCGATCTTAACTATCAGCTGGTCCAGGAGAAATGGTGCAAATACAATGCGCCAGTCGAGTTCCGCGGTGTGGATATATTTGCCATGTAAGTAAGAGTCAACTAAACGACCAAGGCAGATATTTTTTTCTAGTATAGGGCCATTAGTGTTATCGAATATTATAGAGTAATGCAGTCCTAAAATAATTGTGATTTCTCTTCACGCAGCATCTTCTTTTCGTTGATCATAGTATTCCTGATAGCCAGCAGCGTTTACGATTATGTGCAGACCCAAAAGAGCGGTAAGTCTGAAAGCTGGTCTGAAATTGTTTGCAGTCTAATAAACGTGAATTCTCCTATTTGACAGCGCCTAAAAAGCCGCTATTCATAGCCTTCTCGGTGCTACACAATGCGCCAAAGATTTTCACGGTCAAAAAGGTAAACAATCCAAACGTGATCCACTGCCTGAACGGTCTGCGATGCTTCAGCATGATGTGGGTGGTGTTTGGCCACGGCTACATGACCTTCTACGACCTGCCACACATCAATCGGAACAAGTTCTACACGTGGGTGCAGACACCCTACTCGATGCTGGTGCAGAACGGCTCGCTCTGCGTGGATACGTTCTTTTTCATGTCCGGCCTGCTGATGTGCTGGGGCGCCTTCCGTGAGATGGAGCGCACCAAGGGCAAGCTGAACATTCCGATGATGTACTTCCATCGCTATATCCGTCTGACACCCGTCGTCGCTGTTGTCGTCTTGTACATTATGTCGCTATACCGTTACTCCGGCGCCGGACCCATGTGGTTCAAGCTGGGCATCCAAGATCAGCGCTGTGCGGACACCTGGTGGGCCACACTGCTCTATGTGCAGAATTATGCCTTCCCCTACAGCATAGTAAGTGAAAGCTTCCTCACTAATCCATGTTCAATATGCATCTAGCCGTCATACGTTGTACCTCTCACTACAGTGCGTCTCGCAGTCGTGGTATCTGGCTGTTGACACCCAGTTGTACTTCCTCTCCCCGCTGTTCCTGATACCGCTGTATAAGTGGGGCAAGAAGGCGCTCATACCTATTGCAATATTCGGTATACTTTGCCTGGGCTGCACAGTGGCGACCTTCTTGCAAAACGACTTTACACTGTTCCGCGTTCAAGACGATCATGTTGATTTGCGTCAGCGTCTGACCTACTATCCGACGCATACGCGCATTCCGACTTGGCTGATCGGCGTCATCTTCGGCTACTTCCTGTTTACGCGCAACCGTGGACGCCAGATTCCATTGGCCAAGCACTGGGTGATTACTGGCTGGGTGGTGGCCTTTGGCACAATGCTAGCGGACATGTGGGGTCCCTTCTGGCGCATTCTGCCAGACACGCCGGACTCTCCGCTTATTGAGGGCGCCTTGTTTGAACCCCTCAGTCGCAGCTCCTGGGCCTTGTCCATCGGCTGGATTGTGTGGGCCTGCTACAATGGACATGGCGGCCTAATCAATGACTTCCTCTCTTGGAGTTTCTTCACTGGTTTCAGCCGTCTGTGCTACTGCATGTACGTAATACACAGAATCGTTCAGCTCGTGAATGCTGCAAGGCTGCAAACGGATACACACTTCTCCAACTACGATGCGGTAAGATAGCTCTCATTGCATTGTATTCTCTTTGCGTCTAATGTCTGTCTATCTGCAGATCTTGCGCTGGTGGCACGACTTTGGTATCACCCTGACCCTCTCCATCTTTGCGACGCTCGCCTTTGAGGCCCCCATTCTGGGCATTGAGAAGGCAATTTTCGGACGCGGCGATGCCAAGCCAGCACCCAAAAAGCCTGCAGTCGCCGAAAGCGAAAAAGTTGTCCCAACCACCGAACAAACCGCCGACATTGCTCCAGCCACCAATGTGGTTGAGCAAGAGCCAGAAATTCAACCTATAGCCAGCAGAGCTGAGGATCCATCAAAAGCCTAATTATAATAAACTCGCCAACTCAATTCTTGTTAGGAAAGAAAATATTTTTTTTATATATTGTTATTTATAATATACTAGAACTCATTACCCGCCGTTGGCAGGGTTGAGTGGCAATTTGAATAAAAAAAACTAAAAAATTTACGATTCCGACGATCTGTCAGTCACGCCTAAATATAAGGGCTTTCCCAGCTTAATAGTATATACAATCTGGTGACATATAAGTGTTTATCAAATTTATTACTATTTATATTTATACAATTACAATAGTTATCTGTTACTATAAACACAAACGCTATAAACATAGATAATATTATCTAACTGTTCCATACGGTATGCCGCTTAATTAAAACTATCTGGAGTTGTAGATGCGGCTATTCTTAATATCCACATTGAAGAGTCGAGACCAATCCGCAATTACGTCAAACTGCAAAGAGCACAAATGATAAGTAGAATTCTATTTTAGTATAAATTCTGACCTACATCACGATCCATGAAGTTGTCGCAAAAGCACAAATCCAACAATTTCAGTTTTGAACAATGAACCAGAATGCTGAAAAGAAAAGCATACATTACAGGTTTTACAGAGACAACTTTAAATATATATCAGATTTGAGAGACTTACTCATAAACGCGCTCGTGGGTTATATTAAGTATGCCCATCAAATCCAACTGCTCAAGATTTTTCCCCAGTGTTGCGATATGCATGAGATCACGTTCAGTGATGCCTCGCATTGCCGACAGAAAGAGTTTTTTAAGTTTGGGGCAGTTAAACAGCAGCTGGTATAGGCTATCTCCCAAAGTGGCTTCGCGCATGCTGCAACATAATAAGTTCAGTTATGCATACTCTCCTCAATCTAAATGTAATTTTGCCACAATATTGAGAAATAGCTAGTTTACTAACCACCAACCCAGATCCAGTTCTTCCAGCTGTTGGCAACGGGACAGCGATTGAAGTCCCCGTGCAGACAAAAAGTGTGCTTTCCACATGTCCAGTGAAACGAGTTGGGTGTTGTAAGTGGCCAGATGAGTTGCGACATTATCCATGTTTACCGAAACACCACAGAAGGCTAACAAATAGAACAATTTTAAGTACTACTACAGCATATACATAAAAATGCGATGAAAACCTACCAAGATTCAAATGTTTTAATTTGCGATTGCTTTCTAGCATACTTAGTAGAAGTTCCGACTCAAAGGCAGTTTGAAAGAGATCGAGTCGCTCCAGATTCTTTAGATTGGCTAAGCAGGAAAAATTGAGTAGAGGTGGGTTCGTCGTACAGTTCCGTAGGCTCAATTCTATAAATGAAAGAACTTAAAATCATAAAGTACAAAAAATTAATGCAGCTAACTTGCCTATCAGATTATCACAGACTATACCAACTGTCTCAATGCAGCTGGCATTTAGAAACTTGCATGAATTAAGGCGCAAATGGGTCATATTGTCTCCACGTTGGGTTAGAAATCTGTGGAAAAAATTAAAGGGAAAGTGCTATACACATAATCCTCGGCTTATCATTTAGCTGCTGAAGATTATTCACTTTTTGAACTCTGTGGGTGAAATTTCTCCGAACCCACCGCACCATGACAAATCCAGTTTTCGCAACATCGTCGCCCGTCGCGCCAGCGTGCATAAGAGCTCAGAATTAGCCAACTGCCAATAGGACTTTAGGCTGAGGTCACAATAGAGTAGCGGATGGGTGGAAATATCGTAGAACAGGTGCGACACTTGACCCATACGAAAGAGCGACTTTAGGTCCAGATAGCTGAGTATTTTCAACAGGATTTCACACTACGAGAAAGACTTTACACATGAGATGAAGTGCGCAGCTGGTAAAACAAATTGGTTGGCCAACCGGCAGATCCGTTAGGCAGATTTCTGTTGTGCTGTTATGCTTTTGTTGCTCTGATTCCACATGGCTATCCATCAAAAACTTGCTCAGATCGTTGTTTATAAATTCGTGAAGTTTGACAGCATCATTCGCCTGGCAGCTGGGCTGGAACTTCAACGTACGCAATTTGCAGATGATGGGCCCATTTCCGCTTTCCTCTCCCGTGTTACCCAGGCGCTTTCCTACGGGTGCCAGCAGCTGATGCATGCAACGCATGGGGACCGTCCTACCGCATAGCATAATAGCATCTATCTCGGTATAATAATTTAGACGACTGTGATTAAAGTCAATACGCAACGTTCTGTGCAGAATAAAATTAATATTAGTGAGAATCAAAAATTTTGCTGGCGCTAACTTACTTTGTAATAATATTAGTTTTCTTTAGAGGCGGGGCAAAACGTCGAGAATCGTGTGGCACCTGATTTAGGTCACTGGGTTTTGCTTCCCATAAACAGGTCCAACGCTTGGTGATGCTGTAAGCCCAAATTCGCACTACTCCACCGGGATTGAATGTCTCGAAGATGGCTACTTCCGTTGGCACCACAAACTTTTCGAAATAAACAACTGCATAGTCAGCCGTAAAGTCAGCTGATAAAACTCTTTGCGCTTTGTTTAACTGCAAATGCTACACTTACCAATAAAATCATGTGTAGGCAGAGATGGCAAATTCTGTGCCTGAATCTCTTGGGTGGCGGAAGGTGCCAGCTGCCACCAATCACCGTAGGTACGCTGCAGATGCAATGAAAATAGAATCATTGAAAAACTAAATGAAATCGATATAGAAATTTCGAACAGCACCTTAGCCAACTGGCGATATTTTATTTTTTCTTTCTAAGAATGCACTTTACACTAAACTAAATAAAACCTAAGCCTTTTGCTAGTAAATCATTATATTCGTATTCCAAAGCGGAGCTAAAGAAATAACTATTGAGTGCTGGAATACACTCAGGTACAGGGCTTTATCCAAATTCAACAGTCAACAGAAATGGGTCGATGCACTATCCACTTAACCATGATATGCTCTTCTTATATATATATATATATAATTATATGTGAGATGATGATGATGATGGCGAAATTCTATCTAACTCCTATTAAATAATATATTTGTTAACTGCCCAGGAAACACTGCTATTGTCTTTACATTACTACATTTGTACAAACAATAGCATTCGATTCTAGAGATTCTTAAGCAAAAATGAATGAAAAACAAAAGGCATTAATAGATAGTTTTGGCTCACCATTGTAAAGGTCTCTGGGTAGTCGCCATAGGCAGGAAATTTGGTTGGCCTGCCAATCACATTAGCAGCCGTGTAGGATATACTGTAATCTATACCATATTGCGAGCTAAAGTCCAGCACACCAAGTACATACTGCCCAAGGTAGTAGCCGTGGTCCTCGTGGGACTGTGACTGAAGCTTGCTGCCACAGCTAAACCAGCCGCCATTGCACTCATGTTTGCGCTCCATTAGCATTGCCGTAAAATCAATGAGTGCATCGGGCTCGGTGTCGCTGGAGCTACCGTCTTCGGCGCCGCCACCGAAGGCCAGCAGGGACATGATATTCTTCAATGGTGTGACAGTTTACTTAAGCCTCACCGAATCGTTTGATAGTGCAAATCGCAATTGAAGCTCTTTAGCGTATCAAGGCGAATGTTTCGCATACCGCGCTCTGGCGCCAAAGACAACTTGAGGCTCGACCAGCCGATTATACGAATGATTCACAAAACGTAAGTTGCCTTTAGTGTTTGAGTGCTGGAGTACTGATGAACGTCCCTGAAGACGAGCTGATGTCGCCTTGAACACTTTTGCGCCGTAAGTTGTTGTTCGACTTGTCCTGTTATAGATCGAATGCGACAGTTAGAGCGTTAAGTTTACGTTTTAAGTTCACGTTTTCGGGCCTAATGTTGGCACTGAGCTCTGTAAATGAAAACAAAAGGCGCACCACTATATGGCGCTAATTGAATTAAAAGCTATCACGGATTCCTCTTTGGTATTTGCTGGGCGAGGTGGTGTTAGTGCTACCGTGGCGCCAATCAGTCGGTGAATGCTTTCAACGTGCTGGCATTAAATTTGGTAATATTTCTGATCAATATTAGAAATTCCCTTGAAGCGTTTATTCTGATAATTTACTATTGAATTTTGACAACAAACCCGAAACAAAGTTTGGATCATATATATACAATAAAAACAGTAACAGCGTTGCAAACAGACACAGGTTTTAGTATCGATTTTTTTCGCTACCAATGCAGCTCTGTGAAGTTGTGGGGGTCTAGTCACGTTACAATTATAACTTTCGAAAGAATCATCGCAGCAAAGAATAACAAGACTTAAAATGATTTATATATCGATATAATTAATATCATTTACTGATAGATATTTAAAATTAGAAATGTTAGGTCTGCAAATGTTTGCACTGCGCTATTTGCATGGTCGCCGATAGCAAAGTAAACTCGTGTAAGGACCCCTTTAATTATGTGCCCCAACTACCATATGTAGTTACATTTAAGGATTGTATATGCATTTTAATCGACCAGATGCGATAATCGTGTCTCATGATAAGAAACTATTTTTTTCATCGTGCAACAGCTGTCTCTTGTTGATGCTCTGCCCTTAGCTCCTGTTGATTGCGCTGATGGTTTGACAATCTGTTTGACAAAAGATTGGTTATTTGTCATGCAACAGCTGTCCCATTTTAATGTCTCGCTTCAAGTGGTTATCCACCCTCAGTAAATTGCCATTAATAAAAATGAAGAAACAACCGCGTCTAGACTATAGAAACAAAATAATTATGGCACCAATGGTACGCGTGGGCACATTGCCAATGCGACTGCTGGCCCTCGAAATGGGTGCAGATATCGTTTACACCGAGGAGCTAGTCGATCTAAAACTGATCAAAAGTTTACGTCGACCGAATCGTAAGTTGACTTAATTATTTAAAAAACCATAACTGTTAATATGAGCTGTTTAACTTTTTAGCCGCCTTGAATACAATTGATTTCGTGGATCCCTCTGACGGCACAATTGTTTTTCGCACGTGTTCTTTGGAGAAATCAAGAGTAGTTCTTCAGTTGGGTACGAGTGATGCAGCCCGAGCGCTAGCCGTCGGCAAACTGGTACAGAATGATATTGCTGGCCTCGACATAAATATGGGCTGTCCCAAGGAGTTTTCCATTAAGGGCGGCATGGGAGCAGCGTTGCTCGCTGATCCGGAAAAGGCGGCACATATATTACAAACGCTTACCTCGCAATTGGACATACCGATTACCTGTAAAATAAGGATACTGCCTGATACCTTGGAGACCATCAAGCTCGTACAAACGTTGGCGGCAACGGGCATAGCCGCTATTGGCATTCATGCGCGAACTCGGGATGAAAGACCTCAGCATCGCCCACATCCCGATGTTTTACAAGCTGTCGCTAGCGCCGTAGACATTCCTGTTATAGCCAATGGGGGATCTCGGGATATGCACACATACGAGGATCTGCACAAATTTCAGGCCTTGTGTGGCGCTGATAGCGTCATGGTTGCCCGTGCTGCCCAGCTGAATGTGTCAATCTTTCGTAAACAAGGCATTTTGCCAATTGACGATGTGATTTGCAAATACCTGCGATTATGTATTGATTACGATAATGCCCCGCACAATTCAAAGTACTGTGTACAAAGCATCCTGAAAGAATTGCAAGAGACGCCACGGGGTAAGCGATTTCTGCAATGTCAGACGCTGCAACAGATCTGCGACATATGGGATCTAGGTGACTACTGTCGACGTAAGCAGCAGGAGCTTAAAGAGCACGGCAACGGTGGACGTGCTAATGTAATACTAACAGAATGTCTAGCAAAGAGGCAACGACTAGAGCTGTCTGACAATTTAACGGACGAATATGAAGGCGTCATTTGCCGAAACATGGCTTTTCTGCGTTCTACTTACACAAGCGGTAAGTGTTCCTACTACCCTAGCAGCCTAGTAGCAGACTCTAACTTTCGATATACTCCCATTGCAGACACTCAACTACCTAAGATGGCACTCTACGTACTTGCGGGCAAACTGGGCAAGAAGCCGCCTAGCTATGAGACGCATCGTTGTGACAAGCTCTTCCGGTCCATCTGCAGTTATGACGGGCAGCGCTTTAGCAGCAGCTTCTGGGAAAAGAACAAAAAGCAGGCTGAGCAGGGCGCCGCATTGGTGGCGTTACTGCAACTGGGACACCTCAAAGAGCAAACGCTCTTCGACAATGGCAGTCTGATCAGCTAGAATCTGATTAAACATAGTTTCCCTTTTTCTATAACTGTCTACGTGTTTTCCTTACACATCGGGTATTTTAGAAAACTTTTAACTTTTGGAATTAAGCGTGTAGCAATGGGGCTCAACTAGTGACTAACAACCAAATCTAATCTTTTAGTTTAATCGTTTCTTTTTATATACAAAATTTTATGACAATTTGTCATTCAGGCTTAGCAAATTTTACACCTGAAAAAAATTGAATTGAGACAAATGGGAAAAATGTTAATACAATGTTTAACTTGAAATCTTTTCTTGCTATGAGCACACACATGGATATCATGGATATCATGGGTGGCGACCTTTGATTGGCAGTAAGCCAAATATAACGTTTTGCAAACAAAAAAAAAAACATTAAAATTAGTTCGAAAATAAGTACTATTAGCGCCTTTTTAATGTACCACATTCAATTTGAATTGAATGGTGAATGTAATTTAAAAAAACGTATTCTTTATTTATTATGGTTTATTAATTTCCTAATGAGTGTGTCAAGGGTGTCTATGTGGTGCAGGATAGGAGAGGAGATAGCTGCTCTGAGCAATGCTAACGTCGCTGTGCGGCTGGCGGCGGCATCATTGTATGATCATCACGGAAGCCGAAATTTGAAATGAAACTTAGTAGATAATCCTTGGTAATAGGATGCTTGATGCTCTCCACGACGGCTGCAATATTACGTTTGACATGTTATTTGTGAAATATATTAAGCCGGATAGTGTGACACTTACATACGGCGGTGTTAAAGCTGTTGGGCAATTTTTTGTCCGTTCGCTCACGCATAAAGTCCCAGTTACCATATTGATTCATGGTGCATTCTACAATCTTGTTATCTAGCTCTCGAATTTCCTTCGTAAGTTTTTGCATCCGACCAAAGGCGGCATCATGGCCGCCAACAAAAAGAAAGCCAACCTTTTTGGTCAACAGCCTAGAAGCAATAAAAATGGTTAATAATCAATCGTCTGAAGATGCTAAGCAAGAAAGCATACAAAGTATAGCTAATATCGGTCAAGACCTATAAACTGACTATACAAAAAAGGGATGTAATAGGGATTGAAGACAATGATTTACCCCTCGCCACGTTCTGTTGTTATCTTAAGACGAAAATCTACGGAGTTGAGCTCATGCGGTTTCCATTTAAATACATCGACGCAGACGCCCGCTGTGTATGGCTGCTGTGAGGGCTGAAAGATGAGACCGTCAGGCTCATGAGCTAGCGAACGTGAAAACTTTTCGCCTAGTAGACGTGCCGATGTACGTATATCCCAAAAGTCCTTATTTCGCACGCTAAAGGGCTCCAGGGCGCGGTTAATAATACCGTGCTTCATGGCAAGGATGCGTGGACCTGCGAACAGAGTGATTTGCAAACATATTACTAAATGAAATGTAGACGAATCGGGCTATTCTTGCGCACCTATAACATCATTTTTAATATAGTCCAAACGATGTGGGAAAAATGGTTCCTCCCGCACATCACGGCCCGCCAGACGGACAATGTCATACACAAGAAAACGAGGCGTCACTGTGTCACCAATCTTGTCTAGCACCATTTCCTGAAAATTCATAAATTAATGTCATGTTAATATAGATATAGAATTGACACATCAAATTATAGTTTCCACCTACCCCATCCAACAGTGTGCCATCAAGATGATCGTGCAGATTCTTGCCACTGACAAAGGACATATTTTCCACCTGAAAACAGGAGTGGTTGCGATCGAAGAAGTATATCTCCTTGCGTCCATCAATAAGCATCATGTATCGTGTACCATCCGCCTTCCAAGAGACCCTATACGGTATCTCGCTGAGCCTCTTGATGTTGTGCCTATCCATAGATACGGGCTGGGATCCCGGAAAGCCATTTTTCTGCCAGTTACACCAGTCTTGTACCCTGCGCTGTAGGTCAGTCACTCGCGGTTGGTCTGTCACCTGCCGTACACCGGGCACACCAGCCATAAATGCTGCATTCTTGACAATCAACTCGCGACGTCGCTTCTTCTTTTGGAGGCCATCGCCTGAGGCGCCGTCTTCACAGTTTGCATTTGAATCTGCATCTTCCTCGTCGTCCTCGTCAATCGGTCCACCACCAGCAGCTGCCGCGGCAGCCTGCTGCGAAGTGGAAGAACAATTGTCATCGTACCGACGCTTTCTGCTGTCGCCACCGACGTCGTCGTTGCCATTGCTATCATCATATTCTAGACACCAATTGGGCTGCTCTGGGGCTTGGGGAGCATCTTCCTCGTCTTCATAGCGACGGAAGAGCTCATTAATATAATCCTGTTTGTATATGCCTGGCGGTCGTGACTTCGCGAATACGGCAAGTGCCCCCTCTACGGAGCAATCCATTCGCTCCACCATATAGGAGATTATAAGAAAACCAGTCCGATTAAAGCCGTGCGTGCAATGCACAGCAATAACATCCAACGGGCGTTCATTGATAAAGTTGTCAACCAACTCAATGAAGCTGTGCGTCTGCTCCGGCGATGGTGTTTCGCCATGACCACGACACTGCAGCTTAATATACTGTGCGCCCCGCTCTTCCACTGTGCTGCGGTCATAAAATCGTTTTGTGTTTGTCAAGTCAATCCAAAGGCCCAGCTTTAACTGCTATGTGGTCAACATGCATTAACACAATATCTATTATGCGTATTTAAGCGTATGCCATTAGCGACAACTCTTACCTTAAGGGTCTTGCAATAGTCGAAGAGCATCTCGGGACGAAAGGTGCATTCAATCGGCATCTTGTCTTGGAAGGACTGACTTAGCGGCGTTTTGAACGCGAGGAACCGTTCCGCTATAATTGAGTCACTTTTTCGTGGACAGTAAAGCCAACGGTTGGGCAGAGGGCCTGAGCCCCGTTCACGTTCGAACTGTGACATCCCGAAAGGGGAGACGACGGACTAGTTAACTGGATATGAAAAAACTGAGAATGAATCTGGCATGTGAATATGTCTCGTAAATTGATTCGCTTTTGGGTTTGCTGCCAAAGCGCTTATGAATCGCGTCGAATATCGCGTTTCGATTGTGTTGTTAACTTCTTCACATCATCTTCAGGGCAGCGCAGACAATTTCGGAAAGTGATTGCTTAGCTTGATTACTCGTGTGTGTTAGTGTGCGTCACGACAAATATTGCCAGATTTCGCGCATGAGCGATATCATTTATAATAGTGATGCAAGAAGAAATTAAAACATCGATATATAACTTTGTATACATACATTAATTGACTGCAAGTGTAATTGTATCGATTAAATAAGAGCGCCAAGCTCAAAAAATTTGCCTGTCGAAAACAAATTTGTCCTCAGGAGTATTGCCACTGCTGTTATTGCAGATTAACAATACTCGCCAAGGGGCCCAAGAACTACACCCTTTTAAGTATCAAATTAATTGGAAAAATATGAAGCTTAAATTTGATAGAAATACGTCGTTTTGCCGAACTGTAATATTTTAGAACATTTTTACTAAGGCTACAACAATTGAAATACCAATACGAGAGATGGTATTTTTTTTATTTGTTTCAGTACGAAAAAATAAATAACTCCAAATGCATTCCGACTCCGATAAATGGCTTAGTTCATCGATACGTACATGTCGATAGGAGCAATATTAATGCTGTTTGCGCTTTGATTCATAAAAGCAGTTGGCGCCAAGTTAATAAGAATATATAAATAAAATGTCGACCGAGTACTTTCCACGTGTTTTCAAATACATAACGAATTTGTCAGCATCAAATAAAGAATTGTATAGTGTGTTTATTCGCCTTGAAAATGCCCTCAATGAGAAGGAAGAGCTCAAGGCAGCAAGAGAAAGTACGTTAGACGCCATTATAAATGTAATGTCACTGAGTATTTAAAACAAATTGCAGAGCTTCAGAAGGATGTGCAAAATTTACGCATCGATCTGATGCTGGTACGTCAAGCGAACAATGTGCGCCATGAGGAAATCACTCAGATCGAAGGCATTACTAATATTTTAGACGGCTCATACGATCGTCTACTGGAATTAGGCAACCTGTTCGACGATGGAAAGATAAAGAATATGCTAAGCTTCGGAGTTTTGCGCAAGGAAAAAGAAGTGCTGCAGAAAATCAGCAGCATTCAAATGGAACAAAAGATGCAGTTGGATTTCAAAGTGGCGATGGAACAGCGTTTGATTGGTTTGTAATTTCAACTGCCAAATGAATAATTTGTTTATCTTTGTTCATAAAATTGTGTGCTTGCAGTGCAAGATCTTCGCGAATCACAGCGTGAATTGCAAGAGGCAGAGGAAGAACATTCGGCCATTTCCTTGGAGTATACCCAAATGCAACGCAAGTGGAACGACAAGCTGGACCGAGCCATAGAACAGCGAAACAAAAAGATTGTCTCCCTGGTGCAGCTGAGCAAGCAAGCCTCTGAGGTAACCATAAAGTTAGATTGACGGCATTCAACATTCTTTCTCATAACCCAAAGGACTTTTCACAGTTCCAAATGCCAGTCAGCCACAAGATCAAGGCCATGACGGTCAAGGATTGCGAAGCCAAAGCTGTAGCGCTGCGTAAGAAAAACGAGCCAATAAAGCTGCAACCGGCATTGGAATTTATCGAGAGGTATACTGAGGCCAACCAAATCTTTGGCAAGGCTATCGGCATGGAGAATTCAATGGGACCACCATTGCGCTCCATATTAGTGCTGAATCGATCGATGGACAGTTCTAATGAGTCAGTTAACATGATTAGTCCCAACAAACAGGTTCATTTTGCACCTTTGCCGTCGCCACCTCACGTCAGCAATACAGACCCAGTCATGAACGATCTTTCAACTGATATGGCTGATATATCTGACATGAATTCTGAGTCGTCGCAGTCAGAGGTAGAAAATATGACCGAGAGCAAATATTTTCCTGATCGCAGTGTTGTGGAGAATGTGGAAGTTTTGCCACCATTGTCATTGTCAATTTCTTCAGCTTCAAATAGATTTGGTCAAAACGTAAGCTTTAAAAATATGTTCCCATCTACTGACTCCATGCAAGAACAGGACTTCGAAGATAATAAAAACGAAATGGGAAACGATGATAATTCGAATGAATCCGAAATCATAAATGTTAATAATATGGACACTTTAAACTTCGCAAATGCATCAGAATATGCAAACAATGATTTCTTTTTAAATTTAAGTGATCAAAATAGTTCGCAGCAACAAAGCTATACTTATGATCTTTAAAGTTTCAAGAAAAATTAAAACATTTCATATCGTATCCGTTTATGCCGAGAGGAAGAATTATTTAAACAAAAAAGGATTAATTCGTAAGAAAAATAAAATGTACTTTTATATATAATCTTAAAGTATTTCATGAAATTGAAATTCTAATAAATAGAAACAAAATATTTTTCATTAACGGATATGCATTTGTGCCTTAATAATATTGCTGACATTTTTAGTGCTAACATCTCAGCAATGGTTTTTTAAAGATCATTATGCCAGCTGTGTATTATAACAGTATTTTTCTTCTACAGCAAATGCATCACACTGTATTTTGACAGTAATTCATCTCTGGTCACACCGAGAAGAGTGTTACGCTAAGCACGAATGTGAGCTCGTCGTTTAATTAATAAAAATATAACTGAAAGAAAACATGAGTTTTTGAAAACATGCAACTCAATTGCATTATATCGTGTGCATAATACATGTACCACATGTAGATCAAATTAATAGTTAAAATTGTCATTACTTGTCGTCGGGCATCGTCTGTTTTTACGTTCGCCTTTTTATCGATTAAATTGTATATGTACGAAAAAATAGTTGCGACTCGTGCTGGCGCGCAAACACGCATACTCATACACTAGCAACAGCAACACTAACAACAACAATAATACCAACAACAACCACAACAACAACCACAACAACAACAATCATAATAATAGCAACAACAAAAACAACAGTATACATTTAGAAGCGGAGCACCCTGAAAAGCTCGCAAACAAAGCCAAACGCGGAAACTGGCAAAGTGCTCTCAAACGCTGTGTTAATCCAAATCGAGAATTCGCTCGCATCGCCAGCGCTTTTAACGCGATGTCTTGCAAAACGGAGAGCAACAGCAGCGTCGGCAGCAGTAGCTACGGCGACAGCGTCGTAACACTTATCAGCGGTAGTAGTCGCAGCAGCGGTAAGTAGTAAATAATTTTAGCTATAACCCCACCCCCTCGCTCCTTCTGCTTCTCGCTTACTCTATCCCTGTCTCTCTCTATTGCACATGGCGTGTTTCTCTGATGACCTGTTTGTTTTTACGTTAACACAGATATTACTGATAAGATGTCAGACGTGCGTTCGCGGATTCCCGCAAATGGCAAGCCTAAACCACCGAATCAACTGCAATCGCAGCGGCAGCCTCAACAACAACAACAGCAGCAGCAGCAGCAGCAGCAATTGCAACAACAACAGGAGCAACAACAGCAACAGCAGCAGCCACCACCAGTGACGCCACAAAAACAGGCAATGTCTGCGGACGAGCGAAAAGCCACCAAGAAATCTCTAGTCATCGTGGTTGCAATATTTGTGGCCAGTTTGATGACCATGTTCTATGTATATGCAATATTTCCCGAATTGAATGCGTGAGTGTTGATCACAGTTATTTTTTAGTGTATACTCAAAGTGCAATTCTCTGCCCGCAATCTAAACGAGTGAAATGGGATTAGCAAAGGTCTATGTAGATATGTATGTAAATATGTCAAGGTATCAGACATAGTGAAACTCGTCAATTACCAAATGTCTGTGTCTAATAGAAAAAAATGCAAATTTAAATTAGCCAAGGTTGGAATATTGTTCCACAAGCTGTCTATAGTTCAAGATGTTATTATATAAATCGTAAATCTGTTGTTTTACCACAAGACTCACTGTTTAGCCTCCAAATGCGATCAAAGGTCAACTAGAAGATTATTCTAGATATGAGCGCCAAGTAAATCAATATAAACTTTAGTCTATATAAAGTATATAGCCTATATGTTCTCCGTTTTACTATCATCTATTTCAGTTAAAACAAGATATATAGATATAACCTAAGAAGTATCTCATATTTTTAGTTATATACCCTGATCTTTAGAACATATATATGTACATGTAAATTTTTTAGTTTACACAAAGTCGGTCAATTAGCACATAAGTTTTTATTATATGGTATTAAATAGGTTATCCGCCAGTGGGGCATTCACGGCTCGAGCATTAGCTGTCACCTGTGCTTGTGTCAATTCCCTCTGACATTGTATCGCGCTTTGCACGGAGCTTGCGCTCACTAAAAGTCACGCCACTTTACACTCACACAGAGACACGGTCGATGAAGCTTGTACATTTATTACACTCGTAAGTAACGCTTTTTTATGTGTTTCGTTTTAGCTCTGAAAAGGAACATTTAAAAATACCACGTGATATACAAGATGCGAAGATGCTAGCAAAGGTCCTGGATCGCTACAAGGACATGTATTATTTTGAAGTGATGTTCGGCGTTGTCGTCGCCTACGTATTGTATCCTTTTTTTAATCAAACATCAGTATTAACCACTAATCTGATCAACTACCTCACACACACATACGCAAACGCATAGAGCCGTTCGTCAAGATAACGGCGCTTGCGCAACAAGTTTTATGCTCGTAGCGTATTTATTTATAACCTTGACCCCATTTTGAAATACTCTACAAATGGTCAGTTTAGACCGAAAAGAGTGTGCGACGACAACAATAATATTCATGGTCAACAATGACTATCGCATACACACACACTCGCAGAACACGTGCGTCGATACACCCGCGTAAATTTCTATAATAGTATGCACGGACACGCATAATTAGCATTGAAGACGACGTCGTCGTCGTTTTGGGTGCATGTAGGAAGCAAAATACGCATACATATACATATACTTCAAAGAAAAACGTAAAGAACGACAAGAGCGAACGTGTCTCAAATTGATCAGCTGATTGACGCTGCTGGTATTGAGCAAGTGCACTTTGCACTCTCTGCAGTGGCAAGAGAGGAATCGCATGCTGACGCATAGCTGGAAACTCTCTCCCTATCACACTGATTTGCGTTCTCAGGCATTCGAAGCATGTTTATAAACAAAAGCAAGATAGCAAATGTCGAATTTAAAATACTCTTGGCATGTTACACAGAAAACAATGCCATTTCTAATGTATTGTTTCGATAAGAGCATGTGTATAATAGTTGCGAGATTAGCACGCGTTGAAACAGACAGAAGCAGAAAGCGGCAGATTATTTTTTTTAGTTCTAAATGTCTATAATTTCACATTTCGTAACAACTTGAGCAAGGGTATAAAACGAAGCACACACGCCTGTGTGCGTAGATGTCTATGTGTGTGTGTGCTTTGCCTAATATACCAAAACAGCTGAGAGCTGGTCACTCTTTCATTTGCATTGCCTTCGCTCTTTAGGAATCACGAAATATATGCATGTATGCACATATATGTATATGTATGTAAATGCTCCACTGTTTTAATACGTGTTTACATATTTTCGTTTTATTTTTTACAATTCGTCAAAGCAGCTGGCGACGCAATTACGATTTTACGTAGCGATCGAATGATTGTAAGCTCGTTTTTCTGTTAGTATTGTATTTGTGTGTTGTAGCTGTACTCGCGTTGCTACATTTGTATTTGTAAAGCATTTAGTGATCATGAATGTGCGCGTGTACATTCATATGTTTGTAAATACTATACCTAATTATAACCAAAGAACGATACCCATTTTACTCAGGGCTTGTAATCTACATTCGTAATGTGCGCAAATATTTATATTCAAGCTGGCAAAAGTATTTTTTTATGACTAATCGTGCACAGACGTGTTATTTTTATAAGACTTCAATGCAAAAATATTTTGAACACGTGTCAATTTCCATTGAAAAATACTCATTGGCTGTTATATATATATATATATGCATATGTATGTATGTACATACATGATTGACCACTTGAGACATGAAGCTGAATTTTGTACGATAATTTTTTTATGTAAACTGAATTAACAGGATAGAAGTCAGGTTTCAAGCAAAGGTAGAAAGTTTTTGATTTTTCAATTTATCCAAAATTAAGTTTTTATACAATGTACAAATTTGTGTTTTGCAGACAGCGCTGAATTTTTGTCAGCAATTTTGATCAAAATTTGTTCTGCTCTTGCAGCACGCTTTTGGTTGAAAACGTTTTATTTGCCATTTTATGTTATCGTTCATTTGCTTGGCTTCGGGCACGTCTTAACTTTTGGGACAAAGACGAATGCAATTGCGATTCCGATTCCGATTCCGATTACGATTGCCATTGTCAACGTCTTGTGTGTTACTTGGCTATTAATAGTTAGTTGGCGATCAGCCCAGACAGTTGGCAATTCATCTGATGATCTGTTTTTAGCCTCAATTATCTAGACCCTAGGCACCATGTAGTCGAGTGTCTGTGTGTGTATGCTTAAGACAAGTCATTGACACATTTAATTATATATACATATATCTTACTTGAATTGGTTGCCTTAACTAAATGCGTTTTATAGCCTACAAACATTCGCCATTCCTGGTTCGTTATTCCTGTCGATCTTACTTGGATTCTTGTACAAATTCCCCATCGCACTGTTTCTCATTTGCTTCTGCTCGGCGCTGGGCGCCACACTCTGCTATACGCTCTCCAATCTGGTCGGGCGCCGTCTCATCCGACACTTTTGGCCAAAGAAAACGAGCGAATGGTCCAGGCACGTCGAGGAGTACCGTGACAGCCTGTTCAACTACATGCTCTTTCTGCGGATGACCCCGATCCTGCCCAACTGGTTCATCAATTTGGCCTCGCCAGTCATTGGCGTGCCGCTGCACATCTTCGCACTGGGCACCTTCTGTGGCGTTGCTCCGCCATCGGTAATTGCTATACAAGCGGGCAAGACGTTGCAGAAGATGAGCAGTTCGAGTGAAGCCTTCTCCTGGACCTCGATGGGCGTGCTAACACTGTGCGCGTGCGCCTCGCTGCTGCCTGGACTTCTTAAGAATAAATTAAAGAAGAAGAAGACGGCGTAAAACTCGAAACTGATGAATCACTACGAATGTTGCAACAGCTGAAATAGATTTATTTTACCAAAAAGCAGATGAAAACGAAAACATCCCACATTATGTTGAATTGGGTTGTTTTTAACGCATATTGATAGAAACCTGCATATATACATATAAAAAAATATATTTTATTATTATTTCTCTAGGTTTTCCTTAGTTCTAATGAATGTACCATGTATACCGAACTGCTATTTCCAAAAACACAAATCCATAAGAAACACAAAACATAATAAATGCGCGTTATTTAAAGTGGAACAAATACGAAAACTCCGAGTATCTACTATACATAGGCCTAGATATATAAATAATTCGTTTTTTTTTTCTTTCCTAATTTTAAATATATTAAACTTTTGCATCATATATTTCCGTAATTGTTTTAAGTTTAGTGAAACTTTTTTGTTTAGTGCTATTGCAGTATTTACGAAAAATATTATCGATAAGTAAATCAATTAGCAAAAACTAATGAATTCTATATGTTTGTGAGCAAATACATATTTGAAAAACGAAAATGCCTTTTTGTCTATTTAATTTCGACTGAAATGGATCTTTAATGTATTGCTTTTAAGTTGAAGTACAATCTTGGTCAAGAGACCATTCGTTCGGGCAAGGGGACAAGGAAGGTGAATGTCCTGGTGGAAAGCTTAAAACGGAAGCAAAAGGAGTCAAATGTATCCTGCACTAAAAATACGATATATTCAAGTTCTTTTATTTTTCGACTAATATTAAGGATTTTATTTTTTATTTGAGATTTGAATTGAACTCCGTTTCTATATTTAACTAACATGCGAATTGCCAGCAGGAAGCAACTCTATAGCTTTCGTTGAGATTGAGCTTTTCTTTGAGGCTGAGCTTTCACATTGATTGACCAATTGACATCGCACGCTGCATGAATAGTGCATATTCTGCTTAATTAAAGCTTTGCCATTTGAAAAGCTGCCCATGGTGAAAAACAATTGGTGAATGCTTAGGGAATTTTTCGTTAAGATTGAAATATTTTGAAAGCTTTTGTGCAATGGCTAGTTCAAGTATGTTGTGTGTAAATAAAGCTTTTATGTGCATGAAATTGTAAAAGAAAGAGAGAGGGAGCGATAAATAGCAGAGATAGCGAGAAAGAGGATCAGTGAGCAGGGATGCGGGCTGCAAAATCTGCGTGTTTTTCCGTAGCACAATTTTGCTGAAGTACGTAGATATACGTACTTTTTTTTTTTAAATTTAAAAACAATAAAAAAATTAATAAAACAATAATTTTGTAAATTAACTGTCTTTGTACTTCATTGTTATTCATTTTTGTTGACGTTTTAAAAAGAAAATTACATTGTTCAAATTGTTTATACACATTAACGTACGAATTTTACAAAAATGTATACATATTTTTATTAAAGTATTTTAGGTGGTTGTTAGAAGGCTCTAAGCTTTCCTTTAACCCACTTTTTGTGTGAAGTAAACCTTCTAAAGTGTCCGTTTCTAACTTATTTTTATTATTAGTTTTAATTAAATTTATTTCAGAAAATAGTCGCTCAACATTAGCACTGCTCAGTCGCAAATTAAGCAAATTTTGAGTAAGCCCCTTCAAGATCGGAAACATCTGGGTTAAATTTCCCTGTTTAACATTTGAAATATAATGTCATCTGGCGGTACCTTTTCCTAATAGTTTAGTTAGTCTTTAAAGTATTTTGCAATTTGTTTTTAAAGTACGTAGTTCTAGTCTCTTTACACGTAGATGTCCTTTAAAATACGGAGATCTACGCAAAAAGGCGGAGGGTTGCATCCCTGACAGTGAGAGTTAGAGAGAGAGAGAGAGAGAAGAGAAAGATAGAGAGAGCGAATGAAGACAATATGTATGTATAGATAGCAAGCAAAAGAGGTGAAGGTAGATACAAATAGAGACCTGTAGAAAAAGAAACAGAAAGGGAGACAGAGAGAGAGAGAAAGAGACAATAAAATTGCCAATGAGGGAGAGAGTGAGTGTGATATTATGATGAACATGAATAAATAGGCAAAAAGACACAGAGAGGGGAAAACAGAGAGAGAGAGAGAGAGAGAGAGAGAGAGAGAGAGAGAGAGAAAATTTGAAAGATAGAGACAGAAACAGCGGAAGAGGGATTCACAAAGCGAAAAAGTAGATATGCAGAGATGATTCCTAAGCCTGGCAAACCCGTGGGAGAAATTGAGTCGTACAGACCAATTAGCCTGTTGCCAGTACTCTCCAAAATATTCGAAAGAATATTTCTGGAACGAGTACTGACACATCTGGGACGCCAGGAGGCCATTCCAAACCATCAGTTTGGCTTCAGGAGACAGCATGGAACACCGGAACAGGTTCACAGAGTTGTGCACCATATCCTTGGAGCCTTTGAAGAAAAGATGTACTGCTCTGCCGTCTTTTTAGACATCAAACAGGCGTTTGATCGAGTTTGGCACCTGGGACTGCTGCAGAAAGTGAGGACCACCCTTCCAGCCCCATTTTTCGCGTTGCTATCCTCATACCTTATTGGAAGAACCTTCCAAGTGTCAAGGGGGCAAACAGTATCCTTGACTAGACCAATTATGGCTGGAGTACCACAGGGTAGTGTTCTAGGCCCAACACTTTATACTTTATTCACAGGAGATATGCCAACTCCCGAGCCAAATATAGGAAGTACAGATGCAGTACTCATAGCGACCTATGCAGATGACACCGCCATCTTATCACGTCACGTATCTGCGCAAGAAGCTTCAGACTCACTACAAAAATATCTGGACTCTTTCGGACGCTGGGCAAAACGGTGGTGTATCACCATTAATGCACAAAAGTCTGTACATACTACCTTCGCCACTAGAAGAGGAGATTGCCCAAGCGTTGCATTGGGGCCCACTATTCCCAAAGCCTCAAAAGTAAAGTACCTTGGTATCACTCTTGACAGAAGGCTGACTTTTAAAGCGCACATAAGTCAAGTAACCTCAAAATGCAAAAGCAAGCTAAAAACCCTCGACTGGATGCTGAGAGCTTCAAGCAAGTTGTCTTACAGCAGCAAGGCCGCCATCTACAAGGCAATAGTTGTCCCAACCTTCGTATATGGTATCTCTCTATGGGGCTCCTCGGCGAAGACTACAAGGAACAAAATTCAGACCCTGCAGAATAAAGCACTACGCAGATGGACTGGAGCCAGCTGGTTTGTAAGAAACTCAGTCTTACATAGGGATTTAGCAATTCCCACAGTTGCTGAACTCATTGGGCGACACAGTTCAAGATACGCGGACAGACTTGCAGCGCATCCTAACCATCTCGCAAGCAACCTGGCTATAAACAACAATAGGCGAAGACTGAAGAGATTGCATCCTCTAGACAATATTAGAACTAATTAAGATAGTAGCTACAAGTGCAGAATAATTGGCATATCTGCCCTCCCATTAGTTAAGGTTTAGAGCTAAATGCGCTATAGAGTCTAAGACAATAAGCTGCAACAAAATAAAGAAATAAAAACGAAAAAAAAAAAAAAAAAGATATGCAGAGAGAGAGAGAGAAAAAGTAAATAGAGAATGGGAGAGAAAGAACGACAGAGAGAGAATGAGAGAAACGATTAAGAGGTACAGGGAGGGAGAGATAATGATAGATAAAGAGAGGTAGATACACTTTGATAAATATTGTGAGAGATGAGAGGGGAGAGAAAGTTACTTAGGTGTTGCGAGAGCGAAAAATTGACAGTGAGAGAGTGATTTGACGTGTGGTCCGTGCACTACATATGTATGTATGTGTGTTTCTGTATACATATATATACATACTTTTGTGTGTGTTTGTGCAAACTGAAATTATATTGAAGGCATCGTAAATTGAACTGTTATGTGTTATGTGATGGACGGCAAAGTGTGAAAGACTTACCAAGTTTTTCTGATTGCCTCAAAATATGCATGCAAATGGCTACTAAGCTTACGAAGCACACACACTCGCACACAAAAATATATACACTTGAAGAAATATTTATATATTTAGATATATACACAAATTCATGTAAGCTTTTAGCCTGCATGAACACGCTTCACCTTTTAAGAACCCCAACAAATGGACAAATTGTCTTTGCTAGCAGTTTTTTTCAGTGTATCTCAGCACTCACACACACATGCACACTTATATTCACCATGTGTGTGTGTGTGGTAATTGTTGTAAATTGATTTGTGTACTCCATTAGCCAATGGCGCCCAGCGTGTGCTCAAGAGCTTAGCCAGAACGCGTCGTTGATCGAGTCGCTAGCTATTTTGGTTAAGCCTTAGCCCCATAGCCCATACCCCATCTGGCAGCTGCCATCTCCTACAGCTCACCTCATACGCCGGCTGGCGAATGGATACAATGTTATTTGCCAAGTTTTTTTTTTGGTAAATTTGATCTGCTGGCCGCTTAGCCGAAAAGGTGACAGCAACTGGGCAGCCAAGTAGCCCGCTGTGCTGCCAAATTGATTGGGTCAGCTCCAAATGGACTTGGCTGCGACTATGCTCATGTCGGCACAGCTCCAAATTATGCAAATCAATCATGCGGCGGGCGACTGACCAGCAGCTGGTCGCATCGGCCACTTATGAACGACACCAAAAGGCGCATTGCACTGTAACTGTAGCTGTAACTGTTACTGAACTGCTGCTGAAACTAACACTGGCTCAAATATGTATACGTATACGTATATATATATGTGTGTGTGTGTGTGTGTTGGTTCGATTTTTGGGAAGAGCTGTGCTTCACTGCCAGCATTGGCAGCCGACATTGACGGACGTGACGTTGGCTGGCTTTAATTGCATCAAAAAGTGTGTGCGAGTGTGTGTGTGTTTAATCCTGCGCCCCTGGTACTAGGTGTGTGTGTGCGTCGCCTGAAAATAAAAACTTTCTCTGCCTTTAATTGACAAGTTAAGCACGCAGCCTGGACTAGGCGAGCCAAGGCCTAGTCCTCGCCCCAGCTGATGGCCGGCTGCCTCTCCATGACCTTCACACACGCTAAACGGCTTGGGTCAGGACAATAGCGCAGGCATTAACATTATGTGTATGCAGTAAAGGCCCTTCTGCCATACCAGTGAAGGCTCTGCTCAATATACCCTGTAATCAAGCTGAAGTACCAAATGAAATGTGACTCTAGTCAACGTTACCTTTTATATATATATATATATATATATATATATATTGAGAAGCTTATACCTCCATGACTCTATTTGCTTTGCATAGGGTAGACTTCGAAGTAATTGGGTTTCTGCTGGCGCATATTGGCCAAGTGTTTTGTTTGCCTTTTTCGGCGTTTTTAATTACATTCGTTTGGCTTCAACAAATCGAGATAATGCTGGATATTAGACTGCAAATGCAGCTGCCCGTTTCGATCTACCTAATTATGGCATAATGAGACATTTAGGTGCGCACGAGGGCAGCATGATAAGTTTGAATTATGTAAATTCTCCATATTATCTCTTCTTTTTTGTCATATATATATATATATATATATAACTTAAAATTTTATATTATAATTTATATTCTCAATGCTCAATGGCAAATCTCTTTGATATTATCGCTAATTTATAGAGCAGCTGAAATAGAGTTGTGGAAAGAAATGGTCACCCTGTAGGCGCTGTTCCTTTTCTTTTCCCATACTCGTCCGCAATGTGAAAAGAGTATATTGGCTTTGCTCAATGTTCCTTAATGGAAGCTAGAAACATCGAATTTGCAATAAATATTCGTAACCCTGGTCAAAAATATATAGTATCTATATAGTATAGTATACATATAGTATAGTAATATATATCAACAGCTGCGACTCCATCTTTTACTGCTCGTACCCAAAACTAGAGATTTTGTTGTAAATTGATTTAATATAGATGAAAGTTGTGCAACTTTTTGGTCTACCCTCGTGGCTATATTGTCGCTGCGTGAGCTGAACTTTTTTCTGGACTATTTATTGCACTTGGCGCTGCCATTAGCAGCTAGTTAAATTTTTTATAGAGCAACAATTAGGGTAGACTTGATATTAACTAGTCGTCGGCTGGCACGCAGATTTGCTCAGCCTCTCAAATGTAGGAACTGATGCGCGTGGTATGGGCGTGGTAGCCAACTGGGCGCCCCTTCTTAATGCTTATCAGTGCACATACAGTCCTTTATATATATATATATATATATATATATATATATATTTATATGTATGTGTTCAATTCATTTCGATTCACTGGCCTTAATCGAAAACAAGTCCAGACCTAAGACAATAGAAATGAGCAGCGTCTCGCTCATTCGTTGCTCATTCCAAATTTAACTTGACTACACTTTATAGCAATTGAAATATCCTAACTCTACTTAATAGATAATTTATCTTTAGTCGAACTTACCCTAGATGCTCAATGCTGTCTTTTGTCATTTATGAACATGAAGTAAAGACACAGTCTTTTCATAGTCAGCCTCTTCAGTGGGTTAGGGCACACAAGAGTCGACTCCATTAGCCACTAGTTTCCATATTAATCTAGCCTAAGCCGGGCGGTCGGGCGGTCCGTCGGTCCGTCGACTGCCTAACAGAAGATTGGTTGGGCTTTGGCCGCTCTATGTGTGATGTTCGTGTTGCTGTTTAATTAAATGAAATTGAAAAGCTTCAATTGCTTAACGGACAGCTAACAGACATGCAGCGCCATCAATGTTATTGCATCTTTTCATGCCGGTGGTCAAATCAAATTAACAAAGGCTCCTCACTAAATTTAGTTACTGCCACAAGCGAGATGGCCCAAAAGGAAACACAAATAAGAATGCTTCAAGCGGAAGGGAGTATACGACTGGGATATATCCTGAACTCTGTGCACGGCTGTAGCTCTATCATTCTACGTCTTCTGTGCAGTGTGTGCTCAGATGTGCAGCTGTAGCTATACTGAGACTAACTCTTATATATGCTTAGGGCAACGACTCTAATATTTGAAACAAGTTTTTCGTAGATTTGAAAATCTTAAATTTTTCTAACTTAAGTTTTATTTATAAAAAAATTAATAAGGAATTTACGATCTCTTGCCTGTAATATTCAAGTAGAGCATGAAATTCAAGAAAAATTTAATTCAATCCTAAAAATATTTAAAATATCGACTCTCACTGAGAGCTAGCAAATGGAATGAATAGAGAAAATAATTAATTTGTATCTGCAGTATATAGTATTGTGCCTGAGATATACAAGACAAGTAAAATTTGAAATCTGTTGTTTTTAACGAGATTTTTGCATACACAGACAGAGAGATAGACAGAGGAGTGGACGGGCATAGGTAGATGTAAACACTTTATAAGGTCTCACCTGCCTCATACAGCCTATTTTATGTTCGAAAAAAGAAAACATACTACTCTAAATTCCAATTTAAGGCAGCACATACAACCCTCAGTTGGGCACTTTAAGATCAAATGAACATTTAAAACTACATAAAATGAGGTTTCCTAGAGAATTTGGTCAAGAGCAAACGAGGCTTTGGCTTGGTATAAAGTAAGGATAGCATAAAGGCTTGCTAGCTCCAAGTGGCAGTGCCTTAAGAATCGTAATTGATTCCGCTAAGGAAATGAAGTTTGGAAACGCGAATCATTCCATAGCAGCTCTGCTGAGTCGGAGAACAGCTGGAGTGGCAGAGGTTCGTCGATAAGACCGCATTGAATATTTTAAATCTGTGACAAATCCACTTGAGCACATTAAAGTGCGAAATAAAGAAGACAGCAAAGCGTCAAATATAGCTAACAATGGGATAAATACTAGTAAAAGTCAGGCAAAGCTAGAAATAGGCAAATAAATAAGTGAAAAAACAGCTAACAGCTAACAGCCAACAGCCAAGAGCCAAGCGAATAAAGAGCGAGGGCCAAACAAACAATCAACTTAAGCATCGCAGCAGCTCAGCTGGACATCTCAGTATCTGTGCGCTGGCATCGGAGCCTCTTGGCCATCTTGAACATCTCGAGCAAATAATGAAGCAATGAAATGGCCAATTTAAATCAATGCGCCTGCCAGCCAGCAAAAAACTAAATGGCCAACTGACTATTTGCCTAACTTGTTCTCTTTTTTGGGTAAGGAAAAATTAAATATCTCAAACACTTTTCAGTTTTATATGTGATCTTATAATAAATGCCTAAATACATATTATTATACATTCATAAGTCAGCAGAGTATATTGAATGCCATAAATTGCCATAAAATTAACAGTGTCAAGAGCTAGACAGATCTTCCGCAGCTGCAATTGATTAGCAGTGCTTAGGTCTGCTCTATAGTCCGATACAGTTTTTAGAGCTAGAATCAGCCAGTTTGGAAGCGCTGCTCTGTAGATAGACATTGATCATCAATATGCATTAGGCAGTTAGTCATAGAGTTTAAGGCGCTAAAGGTCGCAGACTTAAGGCCATTATTGAAGTATTACTATGACTTATTCGCCTACTCTGAGCTGATCTCATTTACGCTTGGCACTTAACTGAGGTATTCCATGTGCAAGTCCATTCCACTCTCAGCAAGCCTATGGTTATTTATATTGATCTATAAATAAGAATCCAAAGTTGAAGCACTGTGAACCTGGGCAAGGTCAATATCTGGGCGTCATTATGTTGTTAAACTTGTGCAATTTATGTTAATAATATTAGTTGAAAATAGTTGGGAATATTGAAAAGGGCTGTGAGTGCAGGGAGTATACAGCTAGGCAAACACTTTGACTTTGTAATATTTGAAAAGGCGCTTTCGTAGTAGACAGCTAAGAGACGTTGGCATAATGAATATATATATATATATATATATATATATATATATATATATAAATATTATAATAATACAAATTTATTGGTATTTAGTTACAGGGTATATGCATGTCGATATCACTTGTTTAGCTGGCTTTAAGTATGGAAAAAACATTTGCTTTGATCTTACCAAAATTGAGGATTTGCCTTGGGAGCTGGCAATTACGACACTTGTGCGTATGACAATACAAAAAAGAAACACACACACACACACACACACATATATATATATATATATATGTATATATACACATATTAGGCAAGTAGAAAGCAACGTCTGCTTGCAATTCTCAAGCATTGATGAGGCCAGAGTTGATGCTTCAGGCCTCACGCTTACACTGGACCAGCACAACAATGATAAATATTGATTTTATACCAGAGCATCAACAATTGCAGGCAGACACCAATTGCTTTTAAGCCGCCAAACACAAACACAAACACACAGAGGCACGCACACACGCACTCACATGAGTGGGTGGCGGGCTGGCATTCCTCTGACAGTGCGCCTCGCATTGACATATGGCCAGGATGTTGGATTGCTGGATTGGGTAAGATGGCAGCCGAGCCGGCTGCTCATGGTTTTGGCCGGCAAGCGCTCGTCTAGACTTTTCCACATAAAAGCCGAGCTGCTCACACGGCCGTGTCTGACACATTTTTTGTAATTATGCGACAGATTCGTTTTCAGTTCCATTCTCCGTTCTCCTGTCCCCAGCACCCAGCACCCCTGGCTCTGGCTCTGGCTCTGGCTGTCGGCTCTTTTCTGTTGTTTTATTTTGTTTTGTTTGCCGCCTTTTTTGTCGCCGTTTTTAATGGCAGCGCTTTGTGTGCCTAATTTGAATCGCACACGGCGCACATTAATGAGACGAGTACCCGGCCCCCAGCACCCAGCTCAGCTCAGCTCAGGGGGCAGCAACCCAATGAAAATGACTAAACAATGCAGCAGGAGTCAACCCAAAAGAGGGCTACAAATTATATTGCTCATACGACCCATATGCGCGAGTGATTAAATAGGACCCGTTTGCCAGCTCTGATCTATGGAGCCGAATTTAATTTCAACGCGACAATTTAACTGTCGCATTGCCAAACGAATGCGAGGATACGCTTACCTGAACTCAAGCTTATATAAAATATATAAAATAGTAAAATGAATCAAGCAAAAAATGTTTTTCGGATTTTTTAAAAAGAAAACTTTTAAGAGACTTTGAGCTATGAACAAATAAATTTATAAAATGTATGTATTACATATATATATAAATATATATATATATATAATGAATCAAGCAATACATATATATATATATAAATATAGACGAGTATTGTTTCTATATTTATATATACATTAATTAACCTACACGATATCTACTTCAGTCCGATCTTGGCTTGCCAGTCGAGTAGAGTATTAGACAAATTTGCAATAAAATAAGGAAGAAGAAGAAGAAGACGAAAGATAAGTAAAAAATTCGCCTCGCTGACATGGGATATTAATTGCTGTATTTTGTCTGTGTGGGTGTGAAAACGTTTAAACGCATAATGCTTCAGATATTTGAGGCAAGAGGCAAACTGCAAAAAGGCGAAAAAAAAAACAAACAAAAAATGCAAACGAAACGATGTTAGAACGTTGCAGTCGAGCCTGCCTGGCTAAGTAATACCCGCTCACTGTGCAGAAAGAGCTTCAACTAAACAAATATCACAATGATCAATGGAAGATAGAAATCATAGATGAATCTGAGAGTGAGGTCAACGGTTGGCTTTTAGCACTGAGGTGTATATGGCTCGGCCACGCCCCCAGTAGGCAAGACATGGTGTGTGGTCAGCTGTCAGCTTTTGATTGAAGAGACGACTGTTTACTATTATTCGGGCTGTTCACTATACGAGGATATATGCTGAGCATATATATAGTATATCTGAATTGAGAGCGAATACGCCTTAGTTCAAGCATTCAGCTCGAGTAGACGCATAGTCAAAAGGCAGACAGCAAGACGGGCATTGAACAAACCAATATACTCTGCTGACAGCGTGAACGATAATAAAAAGCAAACACCTACAACAACAATTACAGCGAACAATCTGCAAATAAAAACCAAACGCATTGTGGCATCAACAATCAACATTAGACGACAAAAATGCAGACAAACAAATGAGACACAAATCTGACGTATAACATTGGAAATGTCTCTCCCTCCCTGTCTCAGTGCGAAAGCAAAAAAAAAAAAAAAACATTAAGAAAAATTAAATTTTCTGATCACAATAGAATTTAGTTGACATGTCTAGCGAGCGACAGATGTGTATCAATAAATATATATATCAATATATATATATATGCATATATATACTGGGAGAAGTCTTACATGGACTTTTTTCGGCCTTAAATTTATATTGAGAATGTCATTTATAAAAAAAACATATATATATATAAATATACATATATTAAGTGTATTGAGTGCTTTAGTCGAGACGGTCCGACTATCAGATACCCTGAACCCTCTGTGTAGACATTACAAAAAGCTGCACAATAAAGCTGAACTCTCCCATACTTATGGTATACGAGCTACGCTTCAAAAAATGAGTTAAATGATCGATTTTGATCGATAATGGGCAAATGAAATGAGTTATCGAAAAATAGATAAAAGATAAAGCGTAAATCTTAATTCTAAATTCAGGCGGGCAGATGAACATGTCTAGATCAATTCAGCTAGTCAACCTGATCAGGAACATATATAGTAACGGGTCTGCCACGCCTTCTCTCTGCTGCATACATTTTCTGTTACGCATTTTCAATGAATGCAGGAAATAAAAAGATAACATAATTCCATATTAATGCAGAAATCTTATAGTATGTAATCTTATTTTCATTATTATCATTCTCTTTATACTTGTATATCTCATGCCATTACAAGTTTAACGGTTTTTCTAGTCTCATTTCACGCTTGCATCCTCTAGAGCTCACTCAGTAAGAGACAGGGAGAGAGAGCGAGATAGAGAGACAAAGATAGATGTCACAATTGCTGCAGAGCCAGAGCGAGATGGCTATTGAAGCCAGTCGGAATAGACCGTTATGATTACTTGAGGCGAAGAGAAGGCGACTGGAAAGCAAATTCGTTACTGCACGCAGTTGTAAGAGTATAAAATGTGCTTGAAATGGGACCAACTTGGCATAGCCCCCACTTATATTTTATATAATTTTAAAATTAAAAATAAAAATGGTTTTAGTTCAAATGCAGACAATATTTAATTGATATCTTACATCTAGAACCGACAAGTTATTCAAAAATATAAGACCTTAAAGAGGCAAAGCCAGCGCAGCAGCGCCTCTGTGTGTGTGTGTGAAGTGGTCCGGGTATTTGTTAGTCGGTTAGTTTTGACTAACTTGAATTGAAGTGCTACGTCTCGCTTGCTATTAGTTATTAAGTGAGCTAGAGTGAGACATGATTTGTTTATTTTATTAAGTTTTAGTTAAGTTTGAAAATTAAATTGGATATTGATATTGATATTGGCCAAACCTAAAGGCGACAATTTGGTCTCATATCTAAGTCTGAGTCAGGCCGGAGGCCCGTCGCTTGCTTTTACTTTTCATTATAATAAAGGACATTTTTGAACTCTATAAAACTAACTACTGACCGCAAAAAATGAAATAAATTGAATGTTGGTTGGGCTTCTCTCTAGCGAAATGAGTTTCAAGTTCAAGTGGCAATGCGCTGTCAAAAGTTGCCTTTGTCGGTGTCTGTGTGCGTGCTTTAGTACAAATTGAGTTTAAGCAGACTCTGTAGCTATTGTTGTTGTTGTTGCTTATGTTGCTGTTGCCTTTATAAACATAAAACGCTGTAACTTTGTCTTTTTTCTGCCTTTTTAATGGCTTTGTTTGCCTTTGGCTGGCTGAAACAAAACCGCAGCATATAAATTCATCATAAACGTCGACAATATTACCTAAATTGACGTATGGCAACACACACACACACACACACGCACACGCACATAGGCGGCAACTGCAGAAACTTTGAGCAGTCATCGTTGAAGAACTTTTATGCTGCGCCTGTAAGTAAGCTCCACAAAAAAGTGGCAGACGCTTAGAGCCCGCTGCAATGCACGGCTAACACATACCACGCCAAATGCAGCTCGCCTGTGCTGGGCCTAGTCTAATGTGGTCTACTATGAAGATCTGTTTTTACTGAAGCGCTCTCTGGTTGGGGCTCTGCAGCCTGCAGCAGCAGCTGGAGCTGGCAGAGCAGTCATCGAGTTAAGTCAGAGCATGTTCCGTCCTGACGCGCCCGAGTGGTGCATGGAAAATTGCAGCCTAAGGGTATTTGGAGTCAGTCAAAGGACAATGCGAAGCGGCTCGCTTGCCTTCTCCATGTCGTACTGGCCATGTAACTCGTATTAAAAGCTCAACATTCAAGTTTATGCATTAGAGACGGCAATGAGGCTGCGTAGGCAGCGGCGGTCAACAACATCCAGGCCGGCCAACTGGCCGTGTGGCAAGGGCATGCATGGTTACATGGATTACTCGCACTAGCAAATAGCTGATAACGCTTAAATGTGGCGCAGGCTGTGGGGGGGAACAAAAAATGGTCGCCTGTGGCAGCTTGAACTGATAGCGCAGCTGGTCGAACGTGACTCTGGGTCGGTTGATGCTGCTGCATAAGCGAATCGATTGCAGCGACACACACCACATACGCAGGTGGCAGCAACGAGCAACGAGGCTATCTACATCTGTTGCACGTTATCTAAGTGACAGAGAGAGAGAGAGAGAGAGAGAGGGAGGGAGGGAGAGGTGAGATTTAATCAAGTTTTTGCTTGCTGCGAATTCGATTCCCGTTGCAGGACATCATCTGATCGACGATTAGCCGAGAGTTTGGCTGCCTGTTCGCAGCTGAGCAGCTGTGCAGCTGCTGGAACGCGTGACTGAATATATTTTGAGAGCAAACTTTGCAAATTAACTTAAAACCATAAAGCGTAAATCAAATTAATTATCCGCCCGGCCAATAAAGGCTACAAAACGCTGCTGCATCGTCTGCCAATGACACGGACACAATGCGAACAAAGCCAATCACAGTGGCCAGGATGCCGCTGATGCGGCCCGGTCATGACGCAGCTGTTGCCGAACTACGCTAAACGAATTGCCGGACAGCCGCGCCGGACAATGGCTTTTGTCTATGTAAATGAGATGACGCCTCGCAGGCGACTGCAAGTTAACAGCCAGCGCTAAAGTAATCTAAAAGTCCTTTTTCATTTATTGTCAATTTGTTACCAAAATAATTGCCAATGGCCAAAGGATGCGAGACTCTTGCCTAGCAGCCCCACATCACACAAAGCCAAAAAATGACAATCATAATACAAATTTGAGTTAAGTTGGGCACAAAGGCTCTGCAGCAGTACACTGCTCAACACAGTTACAGAAGTTACAGCTCTCAAATATTAATAGTTTTTGCATAAGACTCGTTGCTCCAAATGCCTGAGAAATGAGAACTTTTCCATTTATTTATTTTCACATAAATAGATTGGAAATCTCTTCTGCTCTCCTTTTTTTTAAGTCGCTA